TTAGGTCCTTTGGCTAACTCCTGGTACTCAGTGGGTCAATTTTATATAGGAACTTAATGGGTCGTTCGTTCGTTCGTGTCTCCTTAGATCAAGATTAATGTATCTTGATCTTCGGAGTAGTTGCTACAAACGGCCGTGTTAGACACGTTGCCCCCGGTGAAATATATATACGTGGTCGCTTGTATTGGCGAATCGAAAAGAACTTCAGCGACACCGTCGTACAACCGTTTGCAAAGCTTACGACTGTTTTGCAAACGCTTACGACTGTTTTGCGAACTGAAAACTGTTTACGAACCCTGGCGAAACCCAAATTCGCTACGTACGCAAGCAGGGGCGGCGATCCCGGGGGGGGGGGGGACGGGGGACACGTCCCCCCCCCCCTCAATTTTTTTTAGGAGGGATCGTCCCCCCCCCCCTCAAAATTTGAAAAAGCGCCAACAAAAATGTATAGCAAATACTGATTAAAGACTACAACACACTTTCATGCTCTGGAGGGCCCAAGAGTGTGCGTATAGACAAATAAAAATGCTAAAATCTTCTCACTCGGTCGCTACGCTCTTTCGCATATCACCCTTCAAAATGTACAAGTAGATACCGAGAAAATTGAAGTGTGAACAAAGTATGATGCTTGTTTTTATACTATACTGTAGTCTTGCTAAGGAACCTGTGAGGAGGTAATATACTTCCGTCACCTTTACCCCTCTCATTCACTATGCTCCCTCGCACTTGCGTACTGGTGGGGGGGGGGGGGCTTTGGGGGCAGTTCCCCCCAAATAAAATTCAAACGTTGTTTATTTCTAATTCGATACTAGTGATTTACAAATGTTGTTGGAATGGCATGATTTTTACCTGAGTTTTCGGGGGCTCTGCCCCCTGGACCCTACCAAGATGGTTGCTCATGGTTGCTCATCTGACCGTAATTAAATGCCTAAAACGCCTGAGTTTTTCCAGGGGCTCTGCATGGGCCCAAAGGCGGCCCCTGGATGCTCATCTGATCGTAATTTAATGCCTAAAACGCCCGAGCTTCCGGGGATCTGCGCCCTGGACCCCACTCCAATAAGTGACTTCCATGCCAGTGTCACAAATAAGGTATCAAAATATGCTCATCTGACCTTAACACATGCCTGAAACCCCTGAGCTTTATTAAGTTCCGCCCCTTGACACCCGCCGGGGCTTTGCCAGTGGACCCCACGTCAATTTACGCTCCGCTTTGCTTTGCTTTGCTCTACCTGATCGTAAATACTTTAGCCCCCTCACACTTTGAAAAAAACGTTCCCAGGGCCTGCGTAACATGTAGGAGTGGTCCCCACTCCCCCCCCCCCGGTCATGAAAAAAAAAAAATCGCCGCCCCTGTTCGCAAGCATTCGCCGCTCAGTGAGATACACCCTTTGCTTATGTATTCATCCAATATAAATATGCACTTTGATATTAGCTCGGGGTGTTCAGTATTATTAGCTTTGAAATGAATGATAATATCAATGCTAACATCATTCGGAAACAAACGAGTTTAAAGAGTTCAAAATACAACATACTGGTGGTAGATAACGCTTTTGAATGAATTAATATACACTCTTCTACAAGATGTTTCTAGAAATGTTTGCAGGACTCTCTATTCCTACCTTAGTCACATAGAGAAACCCGTGGTAATCAAACTGTGATAATGTAGACGACGGAGATGATTGTGGTGTTTCTATCTCAAATGAAGATTTTATGTTTGTTTGAATTAAGAAAATGTAGTTTCTTCTAATGATTATAACAAAAATAAATACAACTTGAAGCTGGGATAATAAAGTTACGTTATGATAAGGTATGTTCTTAGTAGCATAGTTTTAGATCGAAATCGACAGTGATTGTGTAAGAGTTGTATTTAAAGAACAGAAGTCGTGGTAATGTTGACTAAATGCGAGTTTGATGAGCTAACCTTCCTTTATTATATCAAAACATGTATTACAGAAACAACACAGACTATATCATACCAGATTCCTTTGGCACGAATATCCATTTCCTGACAAAGATACATGTGTACATGGTTATGTCCTTGAGCAAGGCATTTTATCTACATTGCTCGTCTCCACCCAGGTGCGTACCCGGTAGGATGCGAGTGTCCTTGTGGTTGAATTAGAATGTGCCCGCCCGTTAAAAAAGGCGACTAGCTGGAATAATCCGCAGGAGTGGAGAATGTGCACTATAATATGCAGAATAGTAATATTCAGTGACCGGGTTAATAATAATACTGTAATCGCAGAAAGAGAGAGAGAGAGAGAGAGAGAGAGAGGAGACCCTGTTGTTTTATCAATACTAAATGTTAAATTTATATGACAAATGCTCTCAGCCAATCAGATGCCACGATTTCAGTAGGTTATAACAGTTATCGTACTTGTTTTGACATTAAGTTTTATGAAACAGGACCCAGTCGCAAAAACTTAAAAGGGTATAATGATCAAAGGGACACTTTTTAATGATACACCCTCGCATAACTAACGGAATTATCAACATTATATTTTTTCTATTTTCGTTATGCTTGATAAAGACTATAATATTCATACACTTTTCCATTGCTTGTTTGATTTTGTTATGCCTCCGCTACAAAGTAGCCGGAGGCATTATGTTTTCTGGTTGTCCGTCCGTCCGTCCGTCCGTACGTACGTCCCGTTCTCATGATCGCATTATCTCAGAAAACAGATCGATGGATAACCTCCAAACTTGAGACATGTATTTATCTTTCAGAGCCAATGAACTGATTAGATTTTGGGGTCACGAGGTCAAAGGTCAAAATTCACAGGGCGAAAATAGCTCGTGATCGCGTTTTCTCAAGACCCAATCGATGGATTACCACCAAACTTGGGTCATGTATGTATCTTGCAGAGCTGATGAATTGATTAAATTTTGGGGTCACGAGGTCAAAGGTCAAAGGTCACAGGGCTCATTATGTATGCAAAAATAGCTAGTGATCGCGTTATCTCAAGAACCGGTTGATGGATTACCGCCAAACTTGGATCATATATGTATCTTGCAGAGCCAATGAACTGATTAGATTTTGGGGTCCGGAGGTCAATACTGACGGATGGATTACTATCAAACTCGAGACATATTGTTATCTTGCAGAGCCAATGAACTGATTAGATTAGGGTCATGAGGTCAAAGGGTTATACATGTATATGAAAGAAAGCTTGTAATCACCATATGCTGATAACCTGTTATTGAGTACAATTAAACTTGACTTTGAAAATTGCTTCTATGTTGGGTTTGTAAAACCGCTCTATGGCGGAGGCATTATTTTCGACCGCACGTAATCGAAGTTCAATCTAGTTCTCATGGTTTTCTACTGAATAAATAGTTTCATACATGTACATGACCTGCAAACAAAACGCCGCCTACAATGCATAGTGGGTTCAAAGTCATGTTATCGAACAAGCATGATGCAGCAAAAATTGTATTTTGAAACGGATATCTCCTAAACCTTAGTGCTCACTCTGTTCAAAAGTTCTTAAACAACTAGGCTACAAAAACTGACTTGCCTTTTTCGAAATTAAGTCATGGAAACTGTTAAGAAATCCAGTCTCGATTTCTTCGCAGACTATGCGATTTACGGTCGGGAAGTCCTCGTTTTTGCGACAGTTCTTCTCTTCGTCCGCTGGATTCTTCTACAATGGTCCTACAACAAAAACTCAAAACCATCAGCCCCTCCCTTACCATACCCACCTGGCCTGCCTTTCTTCGGAAACATGTTCAGCTTCCGAACCGACATGAGAGACATCCTTCGCAAATGGACCAACGATCTTGGAGGTCTTTTCCGGCTTCGTATCGGCCCGATGGTGGACATCGTCGTGATCAGTGACGTCGACGCGATACAGGAGGCGTTTGTTGATCAGGCCAACGCGTTCTCGGAGAGAGATATTCCGCCATTGCTCGAGGTCGCCATGGGTACCAATGGTATTTTTTATTTAACAGGTTTAACGTCTTTCTCTCGCCTTGTCCTTTAGCTGAGCATCCTTTCACCAAGCCGTCGTAAGTACAAGTTTACCGACATCCCATTGAAACAGGTGGTAAACGCCTTTTCACTGGGACGTCTCTGAAGTTGTACTTGGTGATGTTTCGTGAAACGGTACCCAGTAAACCAAGTTATATTAGACATTCGTTTATGCTTAAAGGGACTTGGTAACATTGTTCAGATGAGAGATAGTGGTGCTAAGGTAGTGATTTCAATGCTAGATGTACAATTAAAGATAATCTGAAAATTTGAGTGAAAACGGAGCATTATTCATGGTACAAATTGGGAAAAACTGATCAGATCGATTCCTTAATTCTCCAAACTTTATTATTACAATTTAATTACATTTTAGGTGAATGGAAATCTCACAAAACAATAAAATGGCTCTACATCACAAGTGTTGACAGATTTTTTATAGCCTGTTTTTATGTCTTTTTTCATGGAAACACGGTTGGGAAAATACAAAAATGGTTAGGAGAATTTACTGTTAATCACTGTTAGAGGGTGTCGTACATCGACGCCTTCAAAGAAAACCATAGATATCTTCAGGATTTTTTGCATGTCAGAGAGTTAGTATAGTATAGGAATATAGTAAGTAACATTTTATACAAAAAATTAAGCAATTTTTTTCATCAACCTTCAACAATGTTACCAAGTCACTTTAAAGGTGATCAAACAATGAAATATGACTGTTACTTACGAGCCATCACTTCAACTGCGTGATTAACTGCGCTAATTGAGCCACTGAAGGAAATTATTCCATACTTCAGGTATTTATTAAAAGCATGCAATATACCAAGGTTCATTACGCACTATCGATTGCTATCACTTTGTTATGTTGCTACTCTCTCTCGTGGCGCGTCACACCCAGTCTCTGATGACGCTCACCGCCCGAAGTTAGGCAAATGACGCCTTGTGTTTAACCCCGGTGTTTAACCTGCTCAATAGATGTCAGATCTGGCCCTGGGGTTCTTCTCTAATGATTTCTCGTCTCTCATGTCCTCCAAAGGCAGCATATTCGGCCAAAGATGGAAGCAACTGCGGCGATTCGGACACAGAGCCTTGAGACATTTCGGAATTAATCAAGGAAGCATGGAGGACAGCATTATAGAAGAAGGGCGACTTATGGCAGAGGCGTTCGAGATGAAGGAGGGAACACAATTCAATCCGAAAGTGCTTGTTACAAACACAGTCGGTAACGTCATTACAAGGTATTTATTCCAATGGTACACTGGCAGATTAAAGGAGGCATAACAGGTCGCGCCCCCCCCCCCTTAAACTCAAATGGCATACAGTATATATACAAAAGGTATCTAACAATGTGATAACCATGCATTTGTATGTGCCTGTCATAAAATATACGAAATTATGATAGTGCATTGTATGTCGACTTTAAGTGAACCTTGGTATTGTATTCCCCTCATTTGTTTCTTGGCATTAGATCATTACTTTTCTCTTCCCCCTTGTGTTTAGCATAAACATCATTACGGTCGTTAAGGAGTTAATAATGAAATACATTTCCCCCAAGAAATATTCTTTGTGATCTCCCACAAACAAAACTGTGTTCTCTCTCTCTCTCTCTCACTTTTGTTCTTCTCTTCTCTTCTTGTCTTTTACAGATTTGTGTTTGGATTTCGTTTTGAGTACGGCGATCCAGTCTTTGAAAAACTCGCCGAAGATTTCGAGCTTTCCTTCGAAAGCTTTTCCATAACGTCACTGGGGAGTGTCTTCCCGTTCCTCTACTACACTCCACTGTACACTAACTTTCGACGCCCCATTCAAGATGTCGTGTCGTACATCAAGTCCGTGGTCAATGACCACCGACGGAGCTTTGATCCCCTCCATCTCCGGGACGTCATCGACCTCCACATGGCGGAGGTCAAAGGGCAACGTGATGAGAACAAGATGGCTGCCATTGAAGAGGGATGGGAGTGGAAGTTTATCTTTGAGCTCTACGCTGCTGGCCTAGCAACAACCACTGATACCCTGCGATGGGCAATACTCATAGCGGCACAACATCCACAGCTCGTGCACGAGGTGAGAATCAGAATATGGGTTATGGTGAATAAATAGGAATATTATATACAGTAAATCTTATCTTAATGGCCATCTCTATTATAAAGGCCATCTGTCTATAGCGGTCACCTATATTGCCTCCCACGAAGAGAAAACCAGTCTATACACACAGAGAAAAAGAGGTTTAAATTTACTCCCTATAGGGAGTAAATGCTTGTCGCATAAGTGACACCCCTCAGGGAGTAAATTTACTCCCCAATGTAGGGAGTAAAATTACACCCCACAAGAAGGTGTAAATTTGTACCCCAAGGTTATGTGAAATTTGCACCCAATGGTGCTTAATTAACACCTTTTGATTCCATTTTCATGAAAAATGGGTTCAAATTTACACCCGTCGGGTTGAATGTTATACCCTATATGAAAGATTCCACACCCTGTGAGGAGTAAATCTACACCCTTCTCATGCACAGTATCAACCAATTGATCATCCCTCGAGCAATCAATCATCCATGCTCCGTAATATTACCTAACAGTCAATAATTTAACCCTTTTGACTACGTTTCAATGCTCTAAAGAAATCAGAACAGAATCTCGAGTTATATGTCGTATAGCTTTAATGCTTACCTAAACAACAGTTAGTGCAAACTCAACACAAGTGCAGACTGTACAAACCAACTTAAAGTTAGCCTCGGTGAGGCTGGCCTGGATGGACGTATCGGATCAAATGTAGTGGAAATACCTATGTACACAATCCTAACTTTTCTTGTTTGGGGCATCGAGCTTGGCTAACCCGGTTCGAGCGCGGGGCTCAATAAGGCGAATACTGCTTTGTTGGGCAAGCACAAAACTTAAGAATATTATTATACGCCATGTGTTGACCAAGTGAAACCAAGTTGGCAAAACTCAGTGCAAAGATGGTATGATAGTAACCCACAAGTCATGGCATTCGGATTATTTACTTGTATAATTTTATGTTTAAACTTAAACGGTCTCCTTAGATTGTTTGTTATCGGCATATAACAGTGCCGATGGACCTAACATTGGGCCACGTTAAAACCAAACCTAAGTGCACAGATATGTTATCCATCCTTTGTGCAGAATACTAAAAGACACCTTCCATAATTATGTCAGTGGACTAGTTAAGCAAAGATGAACATCGGCCGCTTTCAAAAATACGGGTCCATGTATATTTTTTTTTTCTTACTCAATGTGGTAATGGTAATAGGTCCAAAAGGAGATTGATGACGTCATAGGAGGGCGATCACCCAAGTTTTCGGATCAGAGTTTGATGCCCCTCACTGGAGCGACGATGTTAGAAATAACACGAATTCGCCCGGTGGTCCCTTTGGGAGTTCCCCGCTGCACATCCAGGGACGCTGTTGTACAGGGGTACCATATTCCAAAGAATACGAGTAAGTTCATCTTATAGCTCGTGCGCACGAAGCGTCAGTAAGGATTTTTAGATTTGCTCGTCGATATAGTGGACTGCTATGTGTGACGTCCTTTTAATGCACTGTGACGTCCTTATAAGGCATTGCCAGTGCCTTAAAAGGATGTCACACGTTGCAGTCCACTATGTCAACATGCAAATCTAAAAGTCCCTAATATGCCTGACGTAGGACGGCGTCAGGGACAGTCTTTGACGCACCATGCGATGGTGGTTTCGTCCAAGAAACGACTGCAAAATGAACAGTGCATCCATTGCTGTCGATTAAAAGCCGATGATTGGCTTCACAGGGTTGATTGGCGCAAGTAATAACGCAATCGAAATGACACCTTGTACGCACTGGGCATGAGAAATACGATACACAGGGACGTCACAGTTCTTCCCGAAGTGTCCACTTCTGCATGTTCTGTAGTTGATCCACATGTTTTCCTGTGACACGTTTTCAGGTGATATGTCGTGTGTTTGTGTGTGTGTGGGGGGGGGGGGGGGGTACGTAAGCCCACTTTTTGTTTCAGGTGTTAAATGCATCTTTGTTATACCTAACGGTCACAAATGTTCGTACGAACGATAATTTCGTACGAATTTCCATTGTCTGAAAATCGTTCGTACGGCGTTCGTAGCAGTTCCTAATGGCATTTGTGACCGAGGCTTTATGCTACGGTCACAAAGGTTCGTACGAACGATAATTTCGTACGAATCTTCCTGTTTTTCCATTGCCTTCCCGAATCGCCAATGTCTGAAAATCGTTCGTACGGCGTTCGTAGCAGTTCGTAACGACATTTGTGACCAAGGCTTTAGTCACACGTACTGCCAAACCAACCTCAGACGGACTCCAAAGCGACCAAGGCATTGTAACGGTCTTATCGGACTGTTGTCAGTCTAGTGTCGTTTTCGTTGGAGTGAATGAGGTATCATGTAGGCTGTCTTACCGAGAAATAAATGTAGCCTAATATGTTTACCCAAAATGTCTACAAGAGAAGAAATTACCTGTGTTTATACGGAATGTACACGAGATTTTGTTCGTGAATAAAGCGTAAAGAAAATCATCGTGTAAGATGTTCTTAAGTGGTTTCTAAGAAAACATCGTTAAGACACGTTAAGAGATTTAGTAGTATTGTATCAGTTTTCCGCACGTTCATCAATTTTGACGTTTTATCATTTTTTCGCCAGCTGTTTTGATGAACTTGTGGGAGCTGCAAACCAGTCCAAAGTACTGGAAGGAGCCTGATAAATTCAACCCATATCGGTTCTTGAGTGAGGATCATAAGACCATCGTGAGTCACCGCGCTCTCAACCCATTCGGGATAGGTGAGAAGTAAATACAATACGACTGAAAAGATTATCTGTATTTTGCACAATATTTGGCGATTATCAAAGACAAGGAACGCCCCGAAAAGGCGTATTGATTATTTTTTTCGAGGGGGGTAGGGCAGGGGTGCACAGGGGAACTCAATTCAGGGTATATGTACAGCGTTACCTAGTATTCTATTTATTTATTTATTTTTTCGCCACTTTTTCAGAATCGTAAGTGGGGCAGTGGTCATTAAATCTTTCTCACTTTATAGTTGGTAAATTAAAGTAAGTACAGATTTATTCTGTGCTTAATATTTCGGTTATCAGGGTTTTTCGAACCTCTCAAATAAATTCTCTTCGAGATATTTGGATATAATTATGTTCCATCAAAAAAGTAATCTATACAATCAGCCACATACTCTGCAAATACCACAATCACATCGCCGAGACCGACGCAAGACTAAAAATACACCCCCCCCCCCCCAAAAAAAAAGACCGAGGTAGGAGTATTAATCTTGTTTCCAAAATCTGGACCGATAACAGTATAAAGAGGTGTCGTGGTTTAGTAGATCATTCACTCGACTCTTAATCCAAGGGTTGAGGTTCGAATCCCAGTCCAGTACTATAAGGACGTCCTTTGGCAAGACATTTATCCACCTTTGCCACTCTCCACCCGATAGGATGCGAATGTTTTTGTAGTTTTCTCATTATAGTGAGCGTCTGTAAAATGGCGCCTGGCTAGAATGCTTCCCAGGAAGTGGAGAATGTGCATACATTGTGTGCGGGCAAGCCTGAATCCGATGACCAGGGTAATAATATTTATGTAAAGCGTTTAGAGACATCGTCGATGTTTTAAGCGCTGTATGACCCCAAATTTGTTTTTTTCGCTAGATCAGGTACGCGTTTTACAAAGCCTTTTTTCAATGGAAAATGACAAAAGAATCAGTAAAAAATCTGTCGATAACCAATCAGAAGCAGGGATTTCAGTAGCTTATAACAGAAACTGTCATTCGTCACTGATGTTAAGTTTTGTGAAACGCCCCCAGTCCTATTTATTGTTTATTTGTTTGGTCATTCTCACCATCAAGGTCTCCGTGTGTGTCTTGGTGAAAAGCTGGCCAGGATGCAGCTCTTCATCATCTTCACAAGTCTACTCCAGAGATTCACACTTCGTCTAGCAGACGACAGTCTTTCTGTCGGTATGGAGGGCAAGGCTGGACTCGCTTACGGTCCACTCGACTACAACATTGTTTTGGAAAAGCGTAACGTGTGAAAAGGACAAGCGGTTCCGTCAAGCAGAAATTATTCTCATTAACCTGTTGTGCGCGAGGTGTCATTTTGATTGCGTTATTACTGGCACCAATAATTCTACCATGGCGGCATATTATCGCATGCACCAGTAATTATCGCATGCGCCAACACAATGTGTGCAATGCCAAAGTTCATTTGCATTAATACCAAGTACGATGCCACTCTCCACTCTTTCGTGAACGTTAAAGGTAATACAAAGTTTTGGGAAATTTTGAAAATTGGGTGGATAGTGATTTTTTACAATTTTTATATATTTGGATGCCCCTGTGGATGTATTATAAGCTTTACAAAATTTAGACCCTAAAACACTTCTGCTTTCGAGAAAAATGGAATATAACAATTTACCGATGCTCCCGGTAAATTTTGATAAATTTCAAATAGCGCCTACGGCCGTACAATGGTAGCTGCGACCATGAAAATCGCAGAATATGTAGTTGTGATATATAATTTCTAAACAGGATTAGCTAATCGGTCGATTTAGGTCAAGAAACGTTGTTTTATAGCTTAAATAATATCTTGACCTTGAGAGGGAGCTATACAACATAAAGAGTGTATTATTTACAATTTCATAACCTTAGACTCGATTTCAATCGCGACAACGATCACTGAATATTGTAGGATCGCATATGCTTCCAATAATGTTCATTTGAACCAAATTCATGACCTCATACCAAAACTTTGTATTACCTTTAAAGACCCGCACAAGTCGCTGATGCAAAAATTTTACTGACGTAGAAAAAAGGAATGATTCCCTCAATATTTCTGTATTGTCTTGTATCTATATTATCACTCTTTTAAAAAGTTATCATAACGAACTTAAGTAGCAATTTGTAAACTAGTTAGTGTGTTATTTGCATTCCGTAGTCAAACTACAAATATAAAACCCCAATATTCATAGATAAGATGATTTTCCAATACTATGTTGCAAAATGAGGTATAAAACAAAGAATAATTGGAGGCATAATTGTAATCATTTGTATTTTTATTTGATACAATGTTTGTACCAACAATTAATGCTGGATCACAATTGAACCTTTTTCATTTTCATTTGAAAGTACAAGCGAGCATATAAACATGGATGCATAATTAAAAGATAAAAAGCAGCGAAAAAAATTTGCTTTCCGCAAAAATTTCAGTACATGTATTATACACGTATAGATTACAAAATATACAACAATAAATTCTTACTGGCTAAATTCACCAATACGTGCATATTTTAAATAAGGAAAATGACTGAGAGAATGAAAGATGCAGAGAGGGAGAGAGAGAGAGAGAGAGAAAGAGAGACAGACAGAGGAGTGAGTTAAAAAGAAGAGATTAGAAAGAGAGGAATGAGTCGTGATGCGAGATGAGAGAAAGAAAGAAAGGAATAATATATAAAGAAAGAAAGAAATAAGGAGACAAAAAGTAAAATGATTCGTATATTACTAGTGTATCTAATGGAATGAGCTTACACATGCTACGTCAACAAAAGCTTCATTAGACATCCAAGAGGGAAGTGTGTGTGACCCACTCCCCGCCCCCATCAAAACAAAAATTGTCATTGGAATAGTTAAGGCTGATTTGTATCTGTAAAGATTACAAATTTTTTTAATTTTTTTTTTTTTTTTTTTTTTTGGGGGGGGGGGGGGTGCTAGTCGCAAAAATATTTCAGCGTGAGTCAGAAAATCCGAAATATTTACCATTTGTTTTGCTTCTGCAAAAATTTGAAAATCTGATGACCTTTTTAAAACATATGTATACATTAATATATATATATAGTGAACCTGTGAGCAATCAAATTGCCAATCATTTGTTATATTTATCAGGCAATTTTTTATTCAGAATTTTTTTTTTTTCAATTACAAAGGCATTAGATAACTTGCACAACTCTGATTCATACCAGAAAACGCATTGAATATAACAGTGGACATGCTGAAGATCTGAGAATTTAAACGTTATTCGCCTGTCACAAAAAGTGCTAGTACATCCTTCACTTACACAATTTCGTTGGCAAATAATGAAAAGTAAGCCCAATATTAGTGAGTTTGCAGTCATTTTATTCCTGTCACAAGTAATACTTGGCTCTTTATAAACACAAAATATGATCTTTCATTCATTATCATTATTCTTTACCTATCTGGAAGTATTGAGGTGTTTTTTTTTCCGCCGACAACATTAGCACATTCGGAAACAAGTTTCAATCAAAATATGATCTGGAACTAAAGAAAACTTACAAAACTCACAATTGTGACAGGTGTGTCACTTTTGATAGAAATAGCGTGTCACCAATGTTCACTATAATTTTTGTTTGTTTAACTATAAACCATCACGAAAACAATATGCACATAATTCTCTTTCTATGATTATTGCATCTTTGGTATATAGAAACCGTATAAATGTAAAATAAAACATCGGCAGTATAACAAGTGAAAAGGAAGAGGAAGACTCAAAAGTACCTGACAGAATAATCTTTCAATGAGCTGGCACTGTTAGAAGTCGAACGTCAGGTAGGTCTTACTTATCTCCAGCCTTACCATAAAATGGTCTCAATCTATCGGCCGAGTAATCAATAAACTCATCCCCGGTAGGATCCCGGTACCTTCGCTCCGCCAATGCCGCGACGGCCTAAAAGGATATAAAATTATAAAGTACAATATAAACCTATTCATCTCATTTACTCCGTACAAAAATCGTTATATTTAGTTGGATGAAGAATAACTCGATTAAAAGTTAAGAGATGACAATGTCAGTTATTCATGACTACAAACCCCCTCCAATGAAAAGTTTAAAAAAACGTTTTTCAAACGTTTTATTAATTCGTTGGAGATCGTTTAAATCTTCATACCTAGTCCTTATTTTCTTTAAGACAGATCTACTAATGTTGTATCGATTTTGTTGACCATTCGTGGCAATGTATCAAAGCTTTACCCAGTATTTCTATAGAGTTTTTAAGCGAAGTGTTAAACTTAAAGCTTTAACAAAAAATATTTGCTCTTTTCTCTTGAATTACCCCGATATCATCTCTATATATGGAAATTTAAGTACATGTATAGGGCCTACCTCTTGAGGTTGGTATCGGAAGTGCGGCTTGACGTCGGTGGCAGCGCGAAGGACTACATGCGCCACATCCTCGGCCGTCATCGATGGGCATTTGGACCACTCCAAGTCGTGGTCGCGGTACATGCTCAACTTGCGATCAATCTCGTGCACATCCGGGTGATCTGAAATGCCCTTTGACCCCACACCACCAAGATCATTGGCAATCATGGTGTCTCCGATGGGCGAGATGACGCCGCCCGGCTGAATTAAACTGACCCTTTAAAACAATGATAGACGATGGACTATATACAGGGTTGTTTAAATATTATTTCATTTCATCAGTCAGTTTAAAATGACATTTGTTGTTTTCCTTATAATACTACTTTCTCGTTAAACAATCCTACCTTTTTCTTAATATGTTTGACTTTTCCCCTATTTTCTTGATATAATCGTAAAGTCTATATCACAGAGCCTAATCATTGAAGCTCAGATTATTTACAACTTTATACACAATCACAATAACAAGACGTGTGCAAAATAGAGTAATTTTTTATTATAATTAAGTTATCGATGAATAGTGATGAGCGCATTCTTACCTTAACCAAAACTAATTATTAAAAAAAAAACATATGGAAATCTCTGATTTACTTTCCGTACAATTATTTTCGTGATTCGTGAAGCGAAAGTAGTTAAAAGTAAATCGACGGAAGGGAACGCTAATTCCTGGATTACATTTGCTCCGGGCGCCGTACGATAAATTAGTCCATGATTTTCCGTGCGATTTTGGGGGCATCGTAGGAGGCTACGGCCTACCATGTTTTAGTTAAAATTATCTTGGAGCATCGTGCCATTCATTGAATCGGCCCTCAGGGGCAGGCTGGGGCAAATCCGCACAGAGTCTGCGCGGATAAAGTACGGTGAACGTGCAGCCGTCGTGCCGTTTTTGAGCATCCGAGTCCCAAGTATATATGCACGATCAGCGCAAGGCCTCCGCGCGATGCCCGTGCGGGGATTGTGCAATGCTACCTACGACATGTCTACGGGCTACGGGCTTACGATTTTTCAAACTTGTATAACTTCTCGCGAAACAATATCGTAGAGGTTGCGGAGCCCGTGAATCCGTACGAAAATCTCACCGCCGCCGCCTGCCTCCGCACGGAGCCCGCACGAAAAGGGGATACGGGCAGGATACGGGCTCCGTAGACTAATCGGAGGCCAAATGCAATCCAGGCATTAGGTGGAGTAAGCATCAATTGTCCTTGACTTGTGCTTAATAATTCATAACCATTGCACTAAAAAAAAAATACATGTTTGAAAATAAAAGAGTCCAATATACGAACCATATATTGAAGAATCGTCCAATCACCGCCGTCTCCTCGCTTAACCCTTCAATGGCGAATTTGGATGAAGTGTAGATATTCATATACGGAGCTCCTGCAATACAAGGGTGTCGAACGACACGAATATTTATTTACTACTGACGAGAAACTTCTGCTGAAACTTAAATCGAAACCGAACATCAAGACCACTCACATACTTCATGAGAACAGTCGTAAGGCTGAAGTGAGTTTTTACCGTAAGTAGATAAATACATATTATGAATTAAAATGAATTAAAAAATCATAATGTGTAGATCCACTTAAAATGTCCATGATCACTGGGTGGTTTTGGGAGGGGCGGAGGACATTGGAGATCATCTACTACGACTTCCGCATCCGTCTACCCATACACGAGGTCATGTCCCAATTCATACAGGTCTTTGTCTCCTTCTTGGAGTCAACTTCTCTTTCCACAAAAAAAATTGACTAATTATTTTCATTTTAAGACATGACCGGGCTTAAATTTTCTGTTACAAAGTTTATTGTCTGCTAAAGCCCCTTTCACACCGGGCCATGCGTAGAGTTGCGTAGTGTTGCGTACCGGCTACGTCGAGCGTACGCTGCCCTACGCTGGCCTACGTAACTATACGCTGAGGGACGCAAAGGGGTACGCAAGATGGACGCAAAATATTGAACATGTGGCATACTTTCGGCGTAGACACTAGACGTAGCAAGTACGCATTTTGTACGCAAGTAACCGCAACACTACGCTACCGTACGCCAAGCCTACACAATAGTAGCTACCCTCCGCCAGTACGACAAAGCAGTAAAGGCTTGCGCACACAGTAAGCAACCGTACGCAACCGTAACATGTATGCCAGGCCTACTAAACGTACGCAACCCTACGTTTGTTATACGCAATCGTACGCGTTGTACGCGGTGCCTATGCACAAGGTACGTAACCATGCACCATCGTACGCCAGCCTACGCCGAAGCAACATTTTGTTCATGAATACGCAGCCTAATTTCGGCGTAGTCGGTACGCCTCACTACGCAACTTTATACAGATCAGGTGTGAAAGGGGCTTTAGAGTCACGGAGTATAATTTAGTAATGAGCCTCTCTGGAAGTATTAAAAAGAGTGAATTACATGTAAGACGCACTATATTTTTCGTTTTCTGCAAAATAAAGGTTCGTTTAAAACTCTGAAACAGTCAACCTTCTATAATTATACGGAGTAAAATCTCCGGGTATTAAAATCCATTACTTAGCTTCCTGTTCGAACATACCTTCAATTGCATTTCTACTTGACATATTGATAATCCTTCCCGATTCCTGTTTCTTCATGATCGGCAGGACCGCTCTCATCATCCGAAGATAGCCGAACAGGTTGATGTCATAGAGCCGAAGAATGTCGCTCATGCTGATCGTCTCCAAAGCTTTCTTCGTACAGATTCCGGCGTTGTTCACTAGAATAGAGATTAGTTCAATCGAATGTTTTCGAAATGTATCCAACATGTGAAGTGCCTCGATTTGAACTATTCCATTCGCCTTTTACTAATAAGTGTATCTCACTAGAGTAAGAGTGTCAATTGCATACATTAGTTTTTGCTAGGTAGGACAAACTTTATGGTTTGCCCTACCTAACAAAAACGTAATATATGCAATTTGCATCCTTTAGACAAACAATTATTCGTGACAGGTGAATGACATTATTTGTATCGAGGCGCCTCACGGAGACGTATGGACTAAATTTAGTAACATTATGAAGATGGCCTATTTGATTGGTGTACAGAGCAGTGGTCTTTGACAAGGGGCGTCAATAGGGACTTTTAGATTCGCACGAAGACAATGGGGATTGCTACGATCGACGTCCTTTTAATGCACTGCCTTGAATGGACGTCACACGTATCAGTCCGAGCAAATCTAAAAGTCCCTATTAATGCCTAGGTCACATTTGCTCTAAGGCTAGGATACGGCGGCCGTACGCCCCCGAAATCGAGAGATACTTGCGGCCTATAGGGCGTATCTCTATCATTCCCGGCCGTATGGGTCGCCGTGAGGATATAACGCGGAGTTATAACGTTTGCATTTCTAGGTTCGCCGTAGCGATTAGACTTGCCGTAGCCATGCCGTAGAGCGGTTCCACGGCGACCGTACGTCTGGCGTACGGTAATCGTGCGTTGTATATACTCCAGGTTTGAAGCGGTAGAATTAGTCTGGCCCACCCCCTTCGGCTGCCTTGCGGGCACCTTGCGGCTACTTTGCATCTGCCTTGAGTATTTGTCCAAAAAGCTACGGCCGCCGCAGGGACGCCCTAATACGACCATGCCCACTTCAAAGGCCGTACGGCAGTCGTAGGTTTTCTGACTCCACAAATTAAAAATACACCGTGCGGTTATCCTAACATAAATTTTGTGACTGCTACCGTATGTGGGAATGCTGCGGCGGCCCTCTAATTGCTATTGGCCTCAGATAGTTTAGACCGCACGGTCGGCGCCGCGGCAATGGTTGTTACATCCATAATTTAAAAATTCCGGCAGCACGTTTGGAATTTCTCCAGCCTCATCCACATACAGACAGAAATTTGATAACCAGCTTATTAACACACTAATTCATAAATATATTCGGGAGCTCTATAAGCACACTTAAGAACTAGCCTACGGTCAATTTTTCGAAAGTCTTTGCGACATTAATTCACACCTAGGATATCGATGCGCCCTTGTTGCTCCATCACCATGGCAACAGCCGCCTCGACGTCTTCATCCTTAGTGACGTCAAGTCGGACAGGAAAGAGGGTATCGTTGAGGGCGTTGCCGGCTGTTTCACGGAACGTCTGCTCCTCGTCGAGCGAACCGAGAATGGATCCGTAGACGATGAACCTCTTCTCACGGTCCTTGGCCAGGAGATTGGCCGTGGCTAGGCCGATGCCTGATGAGCAGCCGGTGACCACCACGACCCGAGGTTGCTGGGATGAGCTGGAAGGCAAAATAGGTTTCAGGTATTCATTGATGTTAAGCCGTTAGGAATACAAGCCCGCTGGCCCAGCAGCCTCCCCCCCCCCCCCAAAAAAAAAGGAAGAATACGAGCTACAAGAACAATCGTATTTCTGCGATAAGTGGTCAATTTGCCTTTGTTCTTATTTAAAAAAAAAAAAACACATGTGACTTGTATTTGAGTAGGCGGGGCGAGTGGGAGAGGGGGGGGGGGGTCACGGAAGACACGTACTCTTGGCAAATCCCAATCTGGCACAACTGAAAGAAAGCGCTACATTTTAATAAAATGAAATGAAATGAATCATGTCCCCTATTGTAAATCCGACCAGCAATTTCAGACAAGAAAGGGACATGGACATTTTCATTTTGCCTAATTGCCACCGAATTTCAAATTAGGCCTACAAGCAAAATTAATATTTGTTCTTGCAAAAAAATACACTTTTAACCAACAGCGGGATCTACTTGTATCTACATGCGCCCTCTATATAGCCAACAATGCAGCGGTACCCATCGATACCCCATGATCCCCTGTTTCTTATGTTACCTAAGAGCTGATTTGATAAGATAACCACCTGCCGGTGACCACGCAAGGAGGTACAATCCCTCCTGGTCAAACTAGTGCAGATAGGCTTTAAGATAAATCAAAACAAAACAAACAAAAAACTTTCAAACTTAATGAAATATAACAAAATTTAAACTAACGAAGAGGCAGGCCTTTCTACTAGTATTACCCCTCCAAACGAATCGACTCCAGATGGGGGATTCCCCCGAAAACTACACCGCCCCTCCCCCCCTCCCCCCTGCACCCCTGCACCCCTGCACCCCTCATGCATTCCATACCTCACCCTTGAACGCACGTTATCTTTCTCCCCGTCCCACCCTCTCTGTACATTGCATATGTATCCAGGGAGGTGTTTTATATCCCTGATCTATCCAGTTAGTGTAGTGTCTTGTGACTACAATCTTTGCGCATATACATTGTGTGTTTATAGCGAGTGACGATATCGAGTAGGCGTACATAATCTACTGTATATAATGTATAGGATGGTGAATAACATAAGTAAACTGTATAGGCTATTATGTCTACTTACCGATTCGCTGACATTGCAAAACCTCGTTTCCTATTGCACAGTATTCCAATGTTTGTTGATCCACAGGCACTAAGTGTAAGCTTCCACGTGCTTCTCGGGCTTCTTGCAAGCAATGCCTGTACCGTCGAGCGAAACATTTATTTGATAGGTAGACGACACGTAGGCCTACATGTAGCTGTTTGTGTAACGCTTGTCCTGGTCCCGTTTGATAATAATAAGATAGACTAAATGTCTCAAATTATCATTGCAACTTCGTGTAGAATGGCACTTTGATTTAAGGATACAGAACACGTAATGCGGAAAATTTAGGTGTGCAATTGACCATTCCACCTCACGTACTGTACAGGGTTCAAAGAGCCATTCACGCACTCAGCTCGACGAACTTTGGAATCCATATGCCTGCATGCAATAAAACAACTTCATGTACATTGTATTGGGAACGGAAATAGAAAATATTAAGCCTATTCATATGTCCAGTTTCTAAGCCACAAAAGGCGGTATACACTCGGGTAAAAAGGACTTTCAAAGACGAAAAAAAACCAAAAAAAAGTCTAGCTTAAAGGTACTATGTCCCGTTTGCAGGCCAAACAAATGAAAAGGTTAAATGCCAACGGAATTTGAAAGATAATACTAATTTAGAACTTCCCTAAAAAAGGTGGGGCTTGAAAACGTCTTCAAGTGGAAAAATAACGACTATATTAGTTGTCAAATCGACTTAAATAGGAGCTATAGAGCCAATAAGTAATAGTCTTGATTTTCAGACCATTGTACCGAATGGTCATCGTTTTATGCTGCGCAAAGATTCAATCAGTTTAATTTTGGCTATTGCAAGAAGCAGGTTATTGGTGTACACATGGTGTGCTCATGTACCCTTTACAGCTCATTTTATGTCTGTTATTACCAAAGAAGAAAAAAGCCAGTCAGTCACTCAATAGTGTCTGACAGTGAAGTCTAGCAAGTAAACGGGTTTCCTTGTATAATTTGAATATTAGGACACTGCTAACGTTTAAGTTTCACAGATAGGACATACATGACATATTTATAATTTATGCAAAGTTCTACAGAATTTGATGTTAGCTGCAAAGGGACATAGTATCTTTAATGTAGAATCAAAGGGTGATATCTATTATTCCCCCACTTACGGGTCCGTACGTTATGTACGCATATCGTGATACAATCACTGTTTAATGATATATATAGGCAATGTTACTCCCTCTAATATCTTAAGACTTATCTTAAGTTTATAATAATAATAATAATAATAGCTAGTTCGTATATATAGCGCTTTCAGGACCGAAGGCCCTCTCAAAGCGCTTTACAGATAATATATATATCATTACCCCTGTCATCAGATTCAGGCTTGTCCGCATACAATGTATGCACATTCTCCACCCCCTGGGGAGCATTCCAGCCAGGCGTCATTTTAAATTCAAAACAATTTCTCACAATGATCTATTAAAATATTACAATTTCAGTTCAAACAGTTCACATGAACTACAAGGACAGTGCTTCCCAGAAAGAACAAAACCCAGAATTATCGATGTTTTATCATAACTTAATGAAAATTATAATTATTACGCATGGCTGATTGTCAAAGAAACGGAGTTAAGTCTTTAGTCAATTCCGTTTGTTGCTACGGCAGGCAGCCATTAAAAACGATCTTTTAAAATCAAATTATGGAAATACAAGCATCACTTTAAACACACAGAACTTTCTTATTCCTGGCTCATTTTTCATGATTGAGGTGTCATATGGAAGGGCAAAAACTGATCTTTCTATAAATGGGATTTTCTCTTTGAAATTCAGATACCGTCCGCCAAATAGCTCTTTGGCTCTTCAAATTGATTTTAATCACTCATGCGTGAAATATGCATCATATGAGTTGCATTAATGAAAGAGGATGATCTAAGCTTTACAAATATGTGTCATTTATTAATTATAATTGTGATTAAGTTATGATAAAACATCGATGATTCTCGGTTTCGTTTTTTTCTGGGACGCACTGTTATGTAGTTTGGAAGGCATTTGATTAGGTATGATCGAGGCAGTGTATATGGGGCTGAAAAAACGTTTTTATTTGGAACGTTGGTGCTCCCCTCGGCACCTCTCTAGTGCGCATCACTCTTTCTCTCCCTCTCTCTCTCTCTTTCCTTTCCCTACTTCTCTCTCTCTCTCGCTCTCTCTAACTCTTCCTCCCTCTTTCCTTTCTCTATTATTTCTCTCTTTCATTTCCCTACTTCTCTCTCTCTCTCTCTCTCGATCTCTCTAACCCTCCCTCCTCCCTCTTTCCTTTCTCTATTATTTCTCTTTCCTTTCCCTACTTCTCTCTCTCTCTCTCTAACTCTCCCTTCCTCTTTCCTTTCTCTATTTCCCTCTCTCCCTCTCTCTCTCTCTCTCTCTCTCCTCTTTCCTTTGTAGGTACTCCCTTTTTCCAGAAACAGGAGGCATAATAATTTTTGAAATCATTTGTATATTTAATTGACACCAAATTTTCTTCAAGCAATTCATGATGGATCCAATCCAATACAAAAGATATTTGATATAGCGACTTTTCCTTTCGGTTACAAAGCGCTGCACACACCGCTCCGCAATGGTTTGGCCCACTCAAAAACAAAAGTTAGTCACTTCTCAGAGATCAGCTAATTATTATAGGTTGGTAATCAAGTGCGCGCAGTCGAAAGTGATGCCTCCGTCATAGAGCAATTTTAGAAACCAAAATGGAAGAAATTTTTCAAATTCAAGTTCGGTTGAAATCCATTAACAGGTTCTCAGAATATCGTGATTACAAGCTATTTCTCATATGCATGTATGACCCTTTGAACTTTGACCTCATGACCCAAAATGCAAGATACATACATGTCTTAAATTTGATGGTAATCTATCCATCAGTTCTAATGATAATGCAATCACAATCTATTTTTGCATACATAATGAGCCATGTGACTTTTGACCTCGTGACCCAAAATCTAATCAATTCATTGGCTCTGCAAGTTACATAAATGACCAAAGGTTGGTAGGAATCCATCAGTCGGTTCTCGTATCAATTCCTTTCATAGCAAAAGCGCTCCTCACAATTTCTGTAAATTTGGCACTTTAACGCTACGCGTACCGCCTTGACCGGACTGTGCGGTACTGTGCAGTTCTGTGTGTAGAGAGGTCGGGCTGTATTCATTATTTCTTGGGGGTGCATAAATTGCTCTAATTATACGTACGCGTGTAATGCGCAAGTTTATTGTGACGGCACTAAACCCATCCCACTCATTGTTCCCCTATTTTCATAATGGTACTGACCCAATGAAATGTAGTGCAGTGCGCTCGTACGCGCTGCGCTGCGTGTGTACATGTACTGTACTTATGCATGTTCAGTTATATGCATAGCATTACGTACACAGGGCTAGCTGGCACAAAACCCTGGGTCGGGCTTCTAAAATGGCCGGGACATAAAGCATGATTTGACATGAAAATTGACGGAGCTAAAAATGAATCAATCAAAATGAAATTTATATGTATGAAAAGCTTACGTATCATATGTCATTGTCTGTGATTGAGGATTTACAAATTTGACGCAAAACGCGTTGCTGCAAAGTTAAAGATTGGTTTATTGAAAGGCAATCGAGCACAGTGCGACCGATCCATTGACATTGTGTATGAGAGAGTAATTTTTTTTAAATAGATTGTAAAGTTCAACGTCAAAGTGACGGAGGTTTTTTTTCAAGTAAGGGCATGGTTTTACATGGAATGTAAAGGAAATGTTTCCTTCTTCTCATATCTCGATTGAGGATATTATTCTCAATTTCGATTTTTAATGGTAAAGAAAAGTGTAAAAAGATGTCGAGAATTTTACCATATGTCATGTAATATAAAATGCGCGCGGGTCGGTTGATCTCCCAAAAGGAGCGCGAAGGAATTGATATGTGAGATAAGGTGATCACGAGAACGGGACGTACGTACGTACGTACAGACGTATGTACGGACGGACGGACAACCCGAAAACATAATGCCTCCGGCTACTTCGTAACGGAGGCATAAAAAAAAAGAGGAAAAAAAAATTATGTCAATGGCCGACCTAAAAAAGATGACCTTACCACCCCCCCCCCCCAAACGGAACAAAATGTCAAATTTTAAAATTTCGAGACCCCCCTCCCCCCCCCCCCCCCCAAAAAAAAGTGTCCTCTTATTCCCCCCCCCCCCCCCGCTCATGCAAGGCTGGCTGAGTCGTTGCGAAATTTTCGGCCCGATTTATTAATGTTAACCCCCCCCCCCCCCCCCCCCCTTGAAAAAATCCTGCGTTCGCTACTGGCCAGCTGTGTACCCGGTTGTGTACTGGGAACACCGTTGGTGAGAGACGTGTAGACGAGTCTGTCGTACAGGAAGCCAATGAAGTTCAAGTCGTAGAGGTTGTATGTGAGTCCGAAGAGGAGCAGAAAAGACAAGCCTTGTCGCTGAGTTTTGGAGTCTCTGAAGACAATCAAGAACCCTCTGACTGAGAACATTCAGTAGTCTAGTCTGGAAATGACAAGAGCCCTCGCCACAGCGTGGCATGATGACTTACTGATAAACCGCCTCACCCTACACAGGTTACGTATGTGGTACTTCACAATTGAATCTTTTTCGTGTTCATTTAAATTTAAAGACGAAGACTTAAAAGAACCTTACAGAATAATCTTGTAATAAACTGGCAATGAGTCTTACTTATCTCCAGCCTTACCATAAAATGGTCTCAATCTATCGGCCGAGTAATCAATAAACTCATCCCCGGTAGGATCCCGGTACTTTCGCTCCGCCAGTGCCGCGACGGCCTTAAAGGATATGGAATTATAAAAGTACAGGATAAACCTTTTCTCTGTAAAAACAAAAAATCATTATAATTAAATGAAGAATAATTCAATTATATATTTAAAAGTTAAAGCTTATCTGCCGTAGTTTACAGGAGGGATTAGAGCGCCATGCAAGGTCACTGGACAGGTGGTTATCTCATCAACTCAGCTCTCAGTTAACATTAGAAAAAGAGGATCATGGGGGACCAATGGTCACCGATTAGGCATTGTTTGTTATATAGAGGGCGCAAGTAGCTACAAGTGGTGCAGTGTGCCTTTAAGAGATGATAATGCCAGATATTCATGACAACGAAATCCCCCCGTCCCCCCACCCCCCAAAAAAAAGTCCGTATAACTTTGAATTCCGACTAAGGATTTTTCCAAGCATTTTATTAAATCGTTGGAGCTACGATCGTTTAAATTTTAATATCCTAACGCTTACCTTTAAATCTTCATACCTAGTCCTATTTTTCTTAAGACATGTTTTTGTTAATGTTTGTGTCAATTGTGTCGACCATTAAGGTAATGTACCCAAGCTTTACTCAGTATTTCTATAGAGTTTGTAGGCGATGTGTTCAACCTTTTTTTTTTAATGCTCGCTTATCTTGAATTCGACCGATATCATTCTCTATATCAAAATGTATATTACAGATATCTTGACCGCTATGAGAGGTATCGCTGTTTCTATAGTCTCAAGGGGACGTTACATCCTGCTATAACCCCGAGGCGCACAGGGGCGTCCCTGAGGGCCAGTATAGAAACAGCTGTGCCTCGAATATTGAAGCAGTAGGCCTACATATATCTTTTATATACCGAATTCACAAACAAATCTACAAAGAATTCTTACGATATCATTTTCTTGAGTAAAGACTTGTTAAAACATCACATAATCTGAGACACTGTCTGTACATCTTTGCTGGAGAGTTGCCTGAATGTAGCGAGTTCAGGAATCGCAGACAAAAAGCACTGTATGGTATTCGCGCTCGCTAAAAGAATTTTTTACACGTAAACCAATGGGGATCCCAGCAAAATATATTTATGCGGCCCGTTACCCGGGGCTACAGGCATCTTTTAAGAAAACCTATTGACCAGTAGGCGGGCATGGCTAAAATCACTACTCCAATTTCGACCAATCAGATGGCTAGATTTATAAAGAGAGGTATATAAACTTGAATAGGGCATACCTCTTGAGGCTGGTATCGGAAGTGCGGCTTGACGTCGGTGGCAGCGCGAAGGATCACGTGCGCGACATCCTCAGCCGTGATCGAGGGGCATTTGGACCACTCCAAGTCGTGGTCGCGGTACATGCTCAACTTGCGATCAATCTCGTGCACATCTGGGTTATCTGAAATGCTCTTTGATCCCAAACCACCGAGACCGCTTGACCGCATGGTTTCATAAATGGGTGTGCTGACGGCGCCCGGCTGAATTAAACTGACCCTATAAAATAAAGATAGAGGATGGACTTTATATTTAAATATTCTTTTATTTCATCAGTCAGTTTAAAATGACATTTGTTGTTTCTCTTATAATATTACTTTCTCTTTTGACAATCCTACCATTTAAAGAATCACACATGAGAATACGTGTGCTAAAATAGAGTAATGTTTGATTATAATTTATAGATTAATAGGGGTGAGCGCAATCTCACTTTAACCAAAACCAATTATATCTAAACCAAACATAATCTCCGATTTACTGAAACGTGAGAATAGATGTAAATCAACAAAAGGGAACACTTAACTTGAGTGAGCATCAAATGTCATCGTTAAATTAAAAACGATTGCATTAAAAAAAAAATACATGTTTGAAAATAAAAGAGGCTGATACGAACCATATATTGAAAAATCGTCCAATTACTGCCGTCTCCTCGCATAACCCTTCAACGGCGAATTTGGATGAAGTGTAGATATTAAGATACGGAGCTCCTGCAATACAAGTATGCCGCACGACACGAATATTTATTTACTACTGACGAGAAACTTCTGCTGAAACTTAAATCGAAACCGAACATCAAGACCAATCACAAACTTGCATAAGAATAGTTGCGTAGAGTTGCGTAGTGCTGCGTATCGACTACGCCGAGCGTACACTGTCCTACACTGGCCTACGTAACTATACGCTGAGGGACTTAATGGCGTACGCAAACCTGTACGTCAGGCCTACGTAAACGAACGCAACCCTACGCCTGTTATACGCAATCGTACGAATAGATACGCCAATTTCATACGCCGCATGTACGCGATGCCTATATACACGGTACGTAACCATACATCGCCGTACTCCACCCTGCGCTTAGCCTACGAAAGTCTAGCCTACGCCGAAGCAACTTTTTTTTTCACGGATACGGCGTAGTAGCAATTCTACGCAGATCCGGTGTGAAAGGGCTTTAAGGGGGCCTGGCGTATAGGTTTGCTTACGATTGTGTACGGTTTTTTTACTGTGTACACAAGCTTTTACTGCTTCGTCGGACTGGCGTAGGGAAGCGTACTATTGCGTAGGCTTGTCGCACTGTAGCATAGTGTTGTGTAGACTTGCGTACAGAATGCGTACTTTTTGCGTCTAGTGTCTACGCCGAAAGTACGTCAACAAAATTAAACGTGCTTAATTCTTTGTGTCCATCTCGCGTACCCCTTTGCATCCCTCAGCGTATAGTTACGTAGGCCAGCGTAGGGCAGCGTACGCTCGGCGTAGTCGGTACGCAACATTACGCAACTCTACGCATGGCCCGGCATGAAATGGGCTTTAGGCTGAAGTGAGTTTTCCGCATCCTTCGATCCATACAGATCCCAATTCATACCGGCCTTTGCCTCCTTCTTGGAAACAACTTCTCCTTCAACAAAAAATGTTTTTGACTAATTATTTTTTATTTAAAATTATTAATGATGTGAATGACTGTGCTTATATTTTCTGTTACAAAGTTAATTGTCTGCTTAGATTCGCGGGGTATTAAATGAGCCTCCCTTGAAGTATTAAAATGAACTTTTGAATATACACTTTCCTAGTTTTCATAAAATGTACAGTGAATTAAGACGCATATAATTTTCGTTTTCTGTAAAATATAATTACACAGAGCAAAATCCCGGGTATTAAAATCGAATCCTTCTTCGAACATACCTTCAATTCCATTTCTACTTGACATATTGATGATCCTTCCTGATTCCTGTTTCTTCATGATCGGCAGGACCGCTCTCATCATCCGAAGATAGCCGAACAGGTTGATGTCATAGAGCCGACGAATGTCGCTCATGCTGATCGTCTCCAAAGTTTTCTTCGTACAGATTCCGGCGTTGTTCACTAGAATAGAGGTTAGTTCAATCGGACGTTTTCGAAATGTATCCAATATGTGAAGAGGCTCGATACGAATGATTCCATTCGCCTTTTACTAATAAGTGTATCTCACTATAGTAAGAATGTCAATTGCATCATTAGTTGTTGCTAGGTAGGACAAACTTTATGGCTTGCCCTAACAAAACGTAATATTAATATATGCAATTTGCATTCTATTAAAATACAATTATTCGTGACAGGTTAATGACATAATTATTTTGTATCGAGGCACATCGTAGAGATGTATGCATTAAATTTAGTAACATTATGAAAATGACATATTTGATTGGTGTATAGAGTAGTGGTCTTTGACAAAGACTTCATTTAGGAGGGGGTGGTTGTTACATCCACAAGTTAAACACTATGTGAGAAATAAACTCTTGGGCAATGTTAGTCGTGTTTGGATTATTCCTGTATTATGCTAACTCATTGTAACACATTCAATAGGGCATAGATGATGGACAATGCTACTGAATTGGCCTATGGAATACGAGGAATAGCATTACAGTGGTTTAAGGACTATTTTTATAGAAGATTTCAATTTGTACAGTACGGAAATGTAACATCTCCCATGCTGCCTTTAACATGTGGTGTACCGCAAGGCTCTGTCCTAGGCCCAACGCTTTTCCTACTTTATATTAATGATATGCCATTTGCTACACGTTACTTTAACTTTCGACTCTTTGCGGATGACTCAAACTTATTCCATACATTTCCTGAAGGGCAAAAAGAAATTGATATGACTGAAGTGAACACAAATCTTCAAATTGTTTCAGACTGGTGTAATGCTAATAAACTGACAATTAATTTACAAAAGACGAGTTATATGCTAATAAGAAACCAGAGACGGCAGATTAATGTTCAAGGGCAACTGGCTATATCAGAAGCTGAAATAATAGAAGTTGATTCTTCGCTCTTTGTTGGGATAAAGATTGATAAACACTTGACTTGGAAACCCCACATACAAATGGTTAATAAATGCATCAGACAAAAAGTAGAATCCTCTTCCGCTTACGGCATTTTGTGCCTAGAAATATCCTAGTGTTGTTGTATAAAACCTTTATTCAACCTCATATATCATACGGAATTGAAGTGTGGGGGAGCACTTACAAGTCTCACTTAAATTGCATACTGTATACACAGAAGATGGCCATACGGACAATCACATTTAGCCATTTTATGAGTCGTTCAGCACCATTGTTTTACGAATTGAAAATCTTAGATATTAACAAGTTCTATGAGTTGTCTCTATGTACATTTATGTATGACCTAGTACATAATAATTTACCTCACTGTTTGACGGATTATTGTGATAAAATTGAGCATAGATACAATACAAGAAAAAGAGAAAAGGGCCATCTACGTATACCACTGTATAAAACAACACAAGGCAAATTTTCAGTAACTTGTGTAGGAACCCGATTATGGAATGAACTTCCCGATGAAATCAAAAACAAAGGGTCTAGAAACACTTTTCGTAAACATCTCAACGATTACTTGATGAATAAGTGATTGAATTATGCAAGTACACATGTATATATTGTAAATAATCTCCATATTACATTTTTGTTGTTTTTTTTTTGTCAAAAAAATGCAATTTTTTGTATAAATAATCTGTAGATACATGTATCTATGACTTTTTAACCTGGTATATCCTCTTCATAATTATATTTGGAGTGTAGAAATTGTGCTACGGTATTACTCAACATGTATACTTCTACTGTCAAGTTTTATTTTTTGATAATGATATATTTATTTTTGCCAAGTGTGTGCTAAGAACAGGGGCCAGACTCGACTAGCACATGTGCTATTATTTGGCTCCTTTTCATCACCTTCTATATTCTATGAGAAAAGACATATGTCTAGCATATCAATACTTTGTTAGGTTTTTCTTTAATATGATCTATAATATTCATTTATGAACATGTACCATTCACGATGTATTCAAATGTTTAATCACTGATGTTATTGATGATGAATAAATAAAATCAAATCAAATCAAAGCTAATTTTTCGAAAGTCTTTGTGACATTAATTCACACCTAGGATATCGATGCGCCCTTGTTTCTCCATCACCATGGCAACTGCCGCCTCGACGTCTTCATCCTTTGTGACATCAAGTCGGACAGGAAAGAGGGTATCGTTGAGGGCGTTCCCTGCTGTTTCACGGAACGTCTGCTCCTCGTCGAGCGAGCCGAGAATGGATCCGTAGACGATGAACCTCTTTTCACGGTCCTTGGCCAGGAGATTGGCCGTGGCTAGCCCGATGCCTGATGAGCAGCCGGTGACCACCACGACCCGAGGTTGCTGGGATTGGCTGGAAGGCAAAAAAAAGAACCAAGTATTTTAAGCCGTTAGGAATGCAAGCACACTGGCCCAGCCCCGGCCCCCCCTCAAAGGTCGGAATGACCGCATGCGTGTTGCCAAAATGTCCGGTAAAGGGGTACTTTTCGTGCGACAAAGTCCGGCCCGAGAATTGTAAAAAAAAAGGGGTGTATTTGACTTTTCACCCGGAGATTTCTTTAAAAAGGGGGTGTTTTTTCTTTTTTTCTCTCATCTCTTTGGACACCTGAGAAATTATTCCGAATTTAGGGGGGTAAAATGAGCATTTTTCCTGATTTAGGGGAGTCTCCAAGGCAGGAAAAGCCCGCGAAAAGCCCGCGAAAGGGGGGTTCGGAAATGTTGGCACTCCTCAGATAGGGGGTGCTTTCAAAAATAGGGTACGAGCATATGCGTACCCTAAATAACACTGAGTGGGGGGGGCGGGGGCCCAGCAGCCCCCCCCCCCCACAAAAAAAAAAGAAAGAAAGAATACGAGCTACAAGTACTATCATATTTCTCGGGCAAAAGGTAAGCCTACGGCTTAACTTTTACAATGTGCCATTGTTCTTATTAAAAACAAGCAACAGCAAAAAAACCCACATGTGACTTAATTGTATCTAAGTAGGCGGGGCGAGGGGGAGTGGGGGGGGGGGTCACGGAAGACACGTACTCTTGGCAAATTCCAATCTGGCACAACTGAAAGAAAGCGCTACATGTTAATAGAATGAAATGAAATGAATCATGCCCCCTATTGTACATCCGACCAGCAATTTCAGACAAGAAAAGGACATGACCATTTTCATTTTGCCTAATTGCCACCGAATTTCAAATTAGGCCTACAAGCAAAATTAACATTTATTCTTGAAAAAAAATACACTTTTAACCAACAGCGGGATCTACTTGTATCTACATGCGCCCTCTATATAGCCAACAGTGCCTAAGCGGTACCCATAGATACCCCATGGCCCCCTGTTTCTTATGTTACCTGAGAACTGATTTGATGAGATAACCACCTGCCGGTGACTACGCAGGAAGGTATAATCCCTCCTGGCCAAACTAGTGCAGATAGGCTCTAAAGGTATGATATCCCTTTTGCAGCCAACCTCAAATTCTGTAGAACTTTGAATATGTCATGTAATATGTCCTATCTGTGAAATTTAAACGTTAGCAGTGTCCTAATATTCAAATTATGCATGGAAACCTGTTTACTTGCTAGACCTCACTGTCAGACACTATTGAGTGACTGACTGGCATTTTTTCTTCTTTGGTAATAACATACATAAAATGAGCTGTAAAGGGTGCATTTGTCTACATTAATAACGCACTTCTTGTGATGGTCAAAATTAAACTGATTGAACCTATGCGCAGCATAAAACGTATGACCATTTGGTACAATGGTCTGAAAATCAAGACTGTTACTTATTGGCTCCATATAGCTCCTAAGTCGATTTGACAACTAATAGTCGTTATTTTCCCACGTGAACATTTTCAAGCCCCACCTTTTTTAGGGAAGTTCTAAATTAGTATTATCTTTCAAATGTCGTTGGAATTTAACCTTTTCATTTTTTTGGCCTGCAAATGGGACATAGTACCTTTAAGATAAATCAAAACAAAACAAACAAAAAACTTTCAAACTTAATGAAATATAACAAAATTTAAACTAACGAAGAGGCAGGCCTCTCTACTAGTATTACCCCTCCAATCGAATCGACTCCAGATGGGGAATTCCCCCGAAAACTACACCGCCCCTCCCCCTTCCACTATGCACCCCTCACGCATTCCATACCTAACCCAAGAACGCACATTATCTTTCTCCCGTCCCACCCGTCTCTGTACATTGCATAAACGCTGTCTACAGTTAGTGTAGCGTCCAACCTTTGCGCATAATGATAGCAAGTGACGATATCGAGAAGGCGTACATACATGTATCGTCTACTGTATATACTGTATAGGATGGTGAATAACATTAATGTAAACTGTACAGGCTATTATGTCTACTAACCGATTTGCTGACATTGCAAGACCTTGTTTCCGCTGGCATAGTAGTCCAATGTTTGTTGATCTACTAGCACCGAGTGTAAATCTCCACGTGCTTATGGAGCTTCTTGCAAGCAATGCCTGTACTGTCGAGCGAAACATTGATTTGTTTGTACTGGTCCGGCTAGTTAAGAATGATGGTACATGTAATGATTATATGGACTAAATCTCTCACATTATTATTTCAACTTTGTGTAGTGAGGTATACAGAACACGAAATGCGGAAAATTTAGGTGTGCAATTCAACTCACGTACTGTACAGGGTTCAAAGAGCCATTCACGCACTCAGATCGACGAACTTTGGAATCCACATGCCTGCATGCAATAAAACGAACAACATGATGGCCTACATTGGCTACATATACAATGTATTTTTTTAAAAGGGAGGTAAATGGGTTTCTCAAGCCTATATTCATTTGTCCAGTTTATATTCACCTTATATTTCACAAGTGCCTCTTTTCCTAATGATAAGTGCCCCATTAAAAAAGAGCCCCTTCCCCTTCTCATAAGTGCCCCTTCTCTGGTAAATGACCCTTTTCACTACGAGAAGTAACTCCTTTTCACTTCAGAAAAGTGCCCCCTTAACATTCGATAAATGCCCCTCTAAAATCTGATCGGTGCCCATTTTCTTTCAACTAATGCCTCTTTTCCTTTCTAATAAGTGCCCCTTTTCATAATGGTAAGTGCCCCATTAAAAAAGAGCCCTTCCCTCACTCATAAATGCCCCTTCTCTGTTAATGACCCTTTTTAGGTACGAGAAGTTACTCCTTTCCACTCAGATAAGTGCCCCCTTAACATTCAATAAATGCCCCTTTAAAATCTGATCGGTGCCCATTTTCTTTCAACTAATGCACATTTTCCTTTATTATAAGTGCCCCTTTTTCATTCACATAAATGCCCCTTTCCCCTCTGATAATTTCCCTTTTGACAATGATACGTGCCCCTTTTTCTTTCTAATAAGGGGCCCATCCCCTTTTCATAAATGCCTCTTTTCACCTCCTATAAATGCAACTATCAAAATCTGGTGGGGGGCCCTTTTCCATCGACAAATGCCCATTTCCTATTCTCATGACTGACTTTTCTCATCCCTGGTGAGTGCCTCCTTTTGAGGGTGTAAGAAGTGCCCCATTTTCACCTCTGATAATTACTCGTTGTACTTTGACACATGCTTCTTTTCTTTTCTGATACGTGTCCCCTTTTCATCTCATCATTAAACACGCCCCAAATTTCAAGCGACTAAGAGCAATTTCTTCCAAAGCTCACTCGCTACGCTCGCACGCATCTATAAATGATTTACTTATGTAACATATCAAAAGTCTTTTCAGCCTTCCGTTATGAAAATGTGCTTATAACCCCATCAGGATTGTGGTTTTTCCTCTTTATAAGATGTCATTTTGCGCACTGCGATTTCACAAATATTCAAAAATTTCCTTGCTCGCTTCGCTCGCTCGCAAATAATTTTTCAGACCATCATACCCAACTGCAAAGCATGATGCTTAAACAATATCATGTGTGGTGTATACAGTGGAACAAATATTGAAATCATCCCTGGTAATGTAATCACAATGGAGGGGTATATACCAATGTCTAAAAGATTGTATATTTTCGCTTTGAGATTTCCGTTTCCCCCCACTTTGGAAGTCGCTCGGCCGCCCCTGGACTTATTAATTCATGTTTGTCTCATTTCAAATTTTTAAAAAATTGAGCCAGAGAACACGTACAGTGTCCCCACTTTTCTAGTCACCTTAAAGTGCCCCTTTTTACATAAGAAAGGTACCCCTTTTACTTCACATAGGCCTAAGTGCCCCTTTTCACTATAAGTACACCATATTTACCTCTGATAGTTCCCCTTTCAGTTATTTTCCCTTTGGATATGTGCCCCCGATTCCTCTCACCATTACAATGTGCTCCTATTTAAAGCAACTATTAGCAACTAATTCTTTAATTTCACCCAAAGCTCGCTCGCATGTTTCATGATTAAATTGTGGTTAAAACCCCATCAGGATTGTTTTTTCCTCTTTAATTAGAAGATGTAATTTTTTTGCACTGCGACCTCACAAATCTTCTTCTTTTTGTTTTGCTCGCTCACTTCGCTTCACAAATAAATATTCAGCCCATCTGACCCAAATGCAAAAGTATGATGCTTAAACAGTATCTTGGACCATGTAAAGAGAGAAAATATTGAAATCATTCCTGATATAATGTAATCACAACGTAGGGGTATATACCAATGTCTTAAAATGGTGTGTTTTCGTTTAGATTCCCCCTTTGTAGGTGCCCCCTTTACAAAAGTGCCCTTTTTGCCCCCCCCCCCCCCCCCCCCCATTTTGAAAGACGCTCCATCGTACCTGCCTGGATCTCACGTCGTTCGCTATGCTCTACATAGACACTTGGATTTCAGTGTCCCCAAAACAATATAAAACGGATTGACGCCCCTGAACACATACATGGACATATACATGTTTGGCAAACTGATCTGCAAAACAAAGAATAACAGGAGGCATTATTGTATTCATTTGTATATTTAATTGAAAATAATAATAATAATATGTCTTGTTAATACCCAAGGTGGCCTTATCAGTATTTATTCTGTTCTCCCTGAGGGCCCTGCAATCATATTATTCCCCCGATCATCAGATTCAGGCTTACCCGCACACAATGTATGCACATTCTCCACTCCCTGGGGAGCATTCCAGCCAGGCGTCAGTTTTACAAGCGCACACTTGCTAATCTAAATAAATTAGCTTTCGCATCCTACCCATTTAACACCTTCAAGCAATTCATGCTGGATCACAATTGAACCTTTTTCATTTTCATTTACATTTAAAGAGAAAGGCTTAAGAGAACCCTACAGAATAATCTTGTAATGAACTGGCAATAATAATAACAATAATTATCCATTTGTATTGCGCACAACTCTGCCGACATTATAGGCACCCTTAGCGCAAAGATCAACAAATCAAACACAGTCATTACAAGAATATGGTCATAAATGAAAATTCAACAGAACTTGGGTGCAGAATGAGCGATTTGTAACGCTCATCGTAAACGCTCATCGTAATCGCAGTTCCACGGTGTACTGTTTATGCTCACTTCTCTGGCTTCTCCTCCAGGCAATTCTCCCTGGGTGGCCTTAATTGGCCTTGCAGCTGGATTCGCAACCTTAAATGCGCATGCTATGTAGACCATGGTCCATGCGTAGACCCACTAGAGGTCAGTGCGTTGACCCCATGTTTTTCGGTGATTCTACAAAAGTGAGAAAGGACGCAACCGTGTTTTAAACTAAACGCGTAACAGATGCCTGATTCTGGCCCAAAAAAATTAAGCATAAACACGCCCTAAGATATTACAAAGTGAAAAGGCGATAAAATTAATGGTCAACATACAGATAATTAATAACCAAAAGTAATACAAAATATTCTCACTCAGATAATAATCCTAACATGATCAGTACGCCCTACTAATCTTCACTTTTTGTTGAAAGGTTCTAATTGATGAGCTCAAGTTCAAGTCCAATGATAGGGCATTCCAGGCAAGTGGGGCAGCAATCCATGATCTTTTACACCGCGGAACTTTGTACTGGTCGGAGTACTGGTCAACATTTCCCGAGCGGAGACGTCTCTAAGGCTTCCTCCATTCTTTACCATCTCCAGCATGTAGCTAGGAGCCTGATTTGACTTGATTTTGAGTATCATGAATTTGACTTGATTTTGATTGTCATGGATAGTATTTTGTAGTCTAGCCTCTGTCTCACTGGGAGCCAGTGAATCTTATTCGTGTCCAGCCTTACCATAAAATGGTCTCAATCTATCGGCCGAGTAGTCAATAAACTCGTCTCCGGTAGGATCCCGGTACTTTCGCTCCGCCAGTGCCGCGACTGCCTAAAAGGATATGAAATTATAAAAGTACAATATAAACCTATCCATCTCATTTACTCCGTACAAAACAAAATTAGTTGAATGAAGAATAACTCAATTATGAATTCAAAATTTATAAATTTGAAAAGGCCAGATATTCACGACAACACTCCCCCCCCCCCCCCCCCAAAAAAAAGGTAAAAAACAGTGAATTCCGACTAAGGATTTTCCAAGCATTTTATCAATTCGTTGGAGATACGATCGTTTAAATTCAAATATCCTTACACATACCTTTAAATTTTCATACCTAGTCCTATTTTTCTTAAGACAGGTTTTTTTTTAATATCTGTGTCAATTTTGTCGACCATTATATGGCAATGTACACAATCTTTACTCTTTGCGTATTTCTATCGAGTTTTTTAAGGCGATGTTTTAAACCTTTAAAAAAAAAAGATTTTGCACGCTTATCTTGAATTAGACCGATATCAACTCTATTATTAAAAGGGCATACTACCTCTTGAGTCTGGTATCGGAAGTGCGGCTTGACGTCGGTGGCAGCGCGAAGGACCACGTGCGCGACATCCTCAGCCGTGATCGAAGGGCATTTGGACCACTCCAAGTCGTGGTCGCGGTACATGCTCAACTTGCGATCAATCTCGTGCACATCCGGGTTATCTGAAATGCTCTTTGACCCCAAACCACCGAGACCGCTAGAAACCATGGTTTCATTGATGGGTGTGCTGACGGCGCCCGGCTGAATTAAACTGACCCTATATAAAAAAAAATTAAAAAAATTAAAAGAGAGAGGATGGACTTTATTATAGATTAATAGGGGTGAGCGCAATCTTACTAAAACTAATTATATTGAAACCAAACATGGAAATCTTCGATTTACTTTCCGTACGAATAAATAAATGTTAATTCGTGAAACAGGAGGGAATGCTTAAGTGAAGTGAGCAGGATCAGATGTCATCGTTCTTTGAATTAAAAACGATTGCATTTAATAATTATACTCGTTTGAAAATAAAAGAGGCCGATATACGAACCATATATTGAAGAATCGTCCAATCACCGCCGTCTCCTCGCTTAACCCTTCAATGGCGAATTTGGATGAAGTGTAGATATTCATATACGGAGCTCCTGCAATACAAGTGTGTCGAACGACATGAATATTTATTTACTACTGACGAGAAACTTCTGCTGAAACTTAAATCGAATCCAAACGTCAAGACCAATCAAAAGCTTACATGAAAATAGTCGTAAGGCTGAATTGGGTTTTTACAATGATTAAAATGAAATGAAAAATCCAAGTGTGTAAATGCTCATGCTATCCGGGCAGTTTTGGGAGGGGATGGTTACAAGGGAGACCACCTAGTAAGACTTCCGCATCCGTCGACCTATAGAGATTTCAATTCACACCGGCCTTTGCCCCCTCCCCCCCCCCCCCCCCCCCCACCACCACCACTCAGTCTTATTTAGGGTACGCGTATACAATGTTCCTTCTTTCTGAAAGCACCCTTTATCTCCGAAGAAGTACTCCTTTACCGGAGATTTTGGGAACACGCATGCGGTCCCTCCGACCCCGGAGTGGGGGGGGGGTGGGTGGGGTGGGGCGGGACTTTGCCTCCTTCTTTGAGTCAATGTCCCCTTATTTTTAAACAACAATTTTGTAGACTAATTTCATTTAACTTTAATCTTGACGTGACTTACTGGGCGTATATCTTCTGTTACAAAGAGTCGCTGGAGTATTTAGTTATGAGCCTCCTTGGAAGTGATAAAAGACGTTTTAAACGTACACTTTCCTAGTTTTCATAATACAATATTATAGTGAATTAAGACGCACAGAATTTGTATTTCTTCGAAATAAGGGGTCATTTGAAACTTTGGACCAGTCATTTTCCTAAATACAGAGTAAAAACTCCTGGTATTAAAATCCAACCGTACTTCCAACATACCTTCAATTGCATTTCTACTGGACATATTGATGATTCTTCCCGATTCTTGTTTCTTCATGATCGGCAGGACCGCTCTCATCATCCGAAGATAGCCGAACAGGTTGATGTCATAGAGCCCAAGGATGTCGCTCATGCTCATCGTCTCCATAGTTTTCTTCGTATTGATTCCGGCGTTGTTCACTATATAGAATGGATATTAGTTTAGTTGGATGGGTGTATTGAGCAGTGGTCTTTGGTGAGGCGTCTTGAGGAGGGGATGGTTGTCACATCCACATTTCAAAACTCTGTCGAGAAATTTGGAATTTCTCTAGCCTTATCAGCAGATAGAAATCTGATGACCAATTTTTTCTTTTTTTTTAGTTTTTTTTTTAAAACCTTCGAGATCTCTGTAAGCACATTTGAGAGTTCAACAACCAGTTTTTAACATTGTCGGCAAGTATGTAAATCGGGGTCGACACCTAACCCCTAGGAGAACTACCCCCTAGAGCAACCACCCTCTAGGATGACTACCCTCGGGACAATTACCCTCTTGGGTGATTACCCCTAGCCATTACTATCCCCTTGGACAACCAACCTCCAGGACAACTACCCACCAGACAACTACCCCTAGGACAACCAACCTCCAGGACAACTACCCACCAGACAACTACCCCTAGGACAACCACACTTTAGGACAACTATCCACCAGACAACTACCCCTAGGACAACCACCCTCTAGGATTACTACCCCCAGGACAACTACCCTCAGACAATATGCAACTACCCCCTAAATACAGTAACCATGCAGTCTCTAGGCAACTACCCCGGACAACTATCCTAGGGGGTAGTTGTCTGGTGTAGTTGTCCTAGAGGGTGGTTATCAGGTGATGGTTGTCCAGGAGGTAGGTGTCGGGATACGTGGAAATTGGACGAGCCTCAGTTTTCTTTCCCGGTGTTTGGAAAATGACGCGTCAATCCTGCAATGGAGGATGACGGGGGACGACATCAGGGAGGTATGAACAATACTTTCAAGTCAGGGTAGGTATGGTACATTTTTGTGTCGATGAATTATAATGTGACGATACGAAATCCAGAGTTAAAATTCACTGCAGGAAAAAGAAAAAAAAAGCTCAAATTTGTGGATCCCTTTCTGGCAATCATAGATCGGTCCCTCCCCAAAATCCCATTTTCCAATCAATGTGTCGTCACCCCCATCCAAACGGGAATGGATCTCTTGTTTTGATAGGCAAATCCATCATAATAAATCAAGTTCTGTCTTTAAATTCGATTATAGACACTTGATATACAAATATGAAATAGAAAACCTGTCCTGAACATATTGTTTGTAAAACACGTTGGAATTTAAGTAGACTGTACTCGTATCTAATTTCATACACGGCCATAAGTTGTCACAGTGGCTGATATAATTTTAAAGTAAGCTGTAGAGGGCTCACTTACTAAGGACATCATAAATGTCAAGCAAACTAAAAATTCATTAGTATGTAATAGGTAGTTTTTGGTTTCCTACGTACGCCTGTTATTCACGTGGTGCCTTGTCATCTTACTTACGTTATTACCTGCGCTAATTAAGTTTGTGACGCTGACGGCACTCAGCCCATAAATCAATAATACAGAGGAATGTTTGCAATTTCATATAGCATTCACTTTGAGCACGATGCCACTTAAAAATGGCGCACCAAGAACAGGACAGCGCAAGCCGCTGATGCAGTCGTGCGTCAGGAAACTAATAACGCCTCGTGTGCAGATCCGACACCAAATATTTTGGACAAAATGTCCACTTTTTTTGGGGGGGGGGGAGGTCTAGCTCTTCGTTATCAAAAAATTCAAAACATCAATGGCTTCCAACCATACAACCCTTTAAAAAAAACTTTTGAGAAATGAACTCTTGGCCGATGTAAGTTGTATTTGGATAAGTCATTATAAGACAATCAATATGGCATGGATGGACAAGGCTACTGAATTAGCCTAAGGTTATTTTTTAGAAAGTATTTGCGACATTCACACCTAGGATATCGATGCGCCCTTGTTGCTCCATCACCATGGCAACGGCCGCCTCGACGTCTTCATCCTTGGTCACATCAAGTCGGACAGGAAAGAGGGTATCGTTGAGGGCGTTCCCGGTGGTTTCACAGAACGTCTGCTCCTCGTCAAGCGAGCCGAGAATGGATCCATAGACGATGAACCTCCTCTCACGGTCCTTGGCCAGGAGATTGGCCGTGGCTAGCCCGATGCCTGATGAGCAGCCGGTGACCACTACGACCTGAGGTTGCTGGGATGAACTGGGAGGCAAAAGAATGAAGTAGGAATCAAAGCCCGGTGGCCCAGCACCCCCTCCCCCCTCCCCCCCCCCCAAAAAAAAGCACTAGCTACAAGTACAAATCGTATTTTGGGGATGATAAGGAAAGGGAAGGGGTATGGCCTAAATTTTAACATTGTGCCCTTCTTATCAAAAACAAACAAAGAAACAACAAACACATGTAACTTGTATTTGAGTAAATTTGCAGTGGTAGGGCGCAGGCGAGGGCGAGGGGGGGGGGGGCACGGAAGACATGTACAATTGGTAAATCTCAATCTGACAGATCTGATAGATAGGCCTACATGAAATAAAATAAAATAAATAATGAACGATTTCATTTTGCTTCTTAAATAATTTTAGATATGTGCCCCCTCCCCCTTCAGAGAATACTAGATCAGCGGCTTATATAATATATAAAGGTAATGGTGATGATAATGATAACGAAAATGATAATTGGGAAAATAATAACATTCATGAAAATAATAAAAACGAAAATAATGTTAAAAATGAAAAACAATAATAACAATAATAAATAACATTATAAATAATATTGTAAATAATATTGTGAATAATGATAATAATAATAATAACAATAATAATGTGAAAATAAGCTCTCGAGCTTTCGTGGGTTATCCTGTTCAAGCTGACTTAATTTTGATCTGTTATTATTGTATATTGTTTTATGTTGGAAGCTTGTCGAATAAAAATCAATCAATCAATTTATTAGTATTACTATACTATTCTTGAAGCTTTTTATTGAGTCAGCCAAAATGTGTTATCCATGCAACCTCCCCCTCATCCCCCAACGATCATCAGCATGTACGATTGACAATGTTTCCCCTTAATGTGTGTTCAATTGAAGATTAACAATTTAAAGAAAGTTCAATGAAATATAACATAATTTATACATGTAGTAACAAAAAACAGGCCCCGACTCGACTCCAGATGTGGAATTCCCCGAAAACTACACTGCCCACCCCCCTCCCCCTACCATCATGCACCCGTTCCATACCTAACCAACGAACTCACATTTAGTAACCCTAAATTAGCCACTTATTGAGCCAATCTGTGAAATATTAAAAGAAGCTAATGTCAACTGATGTTGGTAGTTATACGAGTATGGACAACAACCCCCAAAAAAGGAGGGATAGGGGTTGGGGAGAATGTTACTGTAAGTTATATGTTGTGAGTATAGTATTCTGCAAATTGTACATATACTTTACATACACAAGCTAATTGACACTAATGAACTAATAACCCCCCCCCCCCTGCTCATTTTGACCTTAACCGCGTATTTTGGTGGTGAAGAATCCATTTTATATTTTGTTTATCTCCTAGAATAATTTTGTGCATTTTGACACCAAGATCATCGAGGCCTATGTAAAACATGCTGTGTTGAAATGCAATTTATAGTGTTTGAGTGCAGGTTCAATGACCTTTGACCCTCAGAAAGGAAACTTCCCCTCCTCCTCCTCCTCCTCTAGCTCTTCTTGGAATAAATAATAACCCCCATTCCCGCCACAATAAGTTGAAATTAGCCTCTTCTATTTGTCTGTGCTCATTATGGTAATTTTACTGTTATAAATATGACATATTAGTGAATAATAGTTTTTTTTAACTTTGATCTCATTTTCGGAGGTCAGGATTTTAGTCTAAGGGTCAGTATACTATGTCATCTTCTTTCGTAATCCCGTGCATTTTGACACCAATATCATCTCTATGTCATATTTTGTTGCTGAAATACAATTTTTAGTGATTGAGGCAGAGGTCATTGACCTTTGACCTCTAATAACAAAATTCTTCCCAACGCCTATCCCTCCTTCCTTTCGAGGGGATACTAATTATCTACCTTGGTTCTCCATATCATTGTATATACTGTAGGTCATTAATGTCTAGTACTTACCAATTTGCTGACATTGCAAGACCTTGCTTTCTATTGCACAGTATTCCAATATTTGTTGATCTATTAAGTGTAGATCTCCAAGTGCCAGTGGTTCTGGGGCTTCTTGCAAGCAAGGCAAAGACTGTCGAGCGAAGCATATTGATTTGGTAGGTGGAAGTATTACGATGATTGTTCTGGTCCCGCTATAGTTAAGAATGATAATAATATGGACTAAATGTCTCCCATTATATCGCAACTTCGTGTAGCATGGCACGTTGAAATGATGTACGGGACACAAATGCAGAAATCAGCGAGGTGTGCAATACAATAGACTATATAGGTCTACTCGGGTACAGCCTAATCGGAGTTTCTCAAGGCTATCTTCTTTTGTCCAGTATTCTGTTGTCATTGACACACCAAATAAAGGGTCTAACTGTAGATATCATTCCCCTACATAGAAAATGTTACTCCCCCTAAAGTGGTACTGGACAGGACGAATTGGTCCAGATTTCCGTGGCATCGCAAACTGTCAACAAACATCACAACTGAGGGTGCAGAGTTCAAAAATAAAAATAAAAAGGTGCTCATAAATATTATACAGTGGGTTGCAGACATCATCTAATTTCTAGATGAAGTAGAGCCACATCGACGCTCTAGCCCGCCTGTGTACAGCCAGGGATATGTGGTACAGCTGCGCTGAGTGGTCATTCTGCATATAGCTCCAAATTTTGGTATTGAAAGACTTGGCCGATGTTGACTCTTTGATGATGGTGGCTGGTACTGGTAGTTGATTCCATTGCCTAATGGTACGAGCAGTGGCGTACGCAGGATTTTTTCCAGGGGGGGGGGGGGGGGGGGGGGGGGGGGGGGGGAGGGGGGATCGAGGGGGTCATTTTTTTTTCTTTTTGGTCCCGAAATTTGAAAATTTTACCGATCGACATTCCTTTCCGTTGGGGGGGGGGGGGGGGGTAAGGTCATCTCTTTTAGGTCATCCATTAGGATTTTTTTTTTTTTTTTTTTTTTTTTTAATCGAAAGGGGGGGGGGGGTTCCCGAAAAACATACACATAAAAAAACTCAAGGGGGGCGGGGCTAACCCAAACTGTATGCTTCGCTCCTGGGAGAGTAATTGATGTACTGGTTTGGCCTTTGACTACGGGTGACTGGTCTGTTGGGGTTGTTGGCGACTGGGATAAACTTCTCTGGGGATGGTAATCGGGAGTTCATGAGAGTTGATCTTAAACAGCATGGTAAGACATGCAACTTTCCTCCTATCTTGAAGCGAAGGCCAATTTTTAAACAATGATCTATTAAAGTCTTACAATTTCAGTTCAAACAATTCACATGAACTAGGCCTACATGTGTATATGCGAGCCTGATTTGCGAGGCATTTATGAGGCAGTATATACGTAGAATCGGGCTGAAAATACCGGAATGGTTTTATTTGTAACGTCGGTGCTCCCTTCGGCAGTTGCTATTCTCTCTCTCTCTCTCTCTCTCTCTTTCTTTCTCTCTCTCTCTCTTTCTCTCTCCCTTTCTTTCTCTTTCTTTCTTCTTTTAAGAAAATGCTTAAAGGTAAAGACCAGTATTGGAAGCGCCCCAATTTCAAAAAATGAAATGGAAGCTCTTATTACCAATCATGTGAAAGAATATGTTTTGAATATTACATGACGATAAAAATTTTGACGGGAAACCACCTACTAATTGATATATTTGGTAAATTAGTATATTTATATACAGTTGAGAGATACAAATGCACATGTCGCGCACGTGTGTGTAGTCCCATATACATCTTTCTGTGTACAGTGCTTCTAACTTTATGAAGACTTGGCCAAATTTCTTATAATTTTGATGATTCCAGAACCTTGCAGTACATCTATGCTAGATGATCAACCTTTTCTGATCGATTTCACAACGTTTCTTTCACTATGCAATTGCATGACCATAACTGGTCTTTAGCTTTTAACGTGTTTATGAAGTTGAGCGAATTCTTTCTATCAAACGCAATACTAGATAACATGTGCAACTGATGTAACATTAAGGAAAGGATAATACTATAAACAATTACAACACAGAACAAGACAGGATTTTGTGTTTGGGTCATTTAATGTCCGTTTGATAATAGTACTACTCACACATAGATAACATCCTACCTAAAATAACACGTTTGATTCTCATCGTTCAAGTGTTGCATCCATACACACACAAAATATAAACAACAACAGCAAATGCAACAATTTTGTTTCTTAGCTATAGTATAGTTTTGCGAGCCATAACAAAAGGAGTACTATTACATTTCATATAAATTTCAGCTGTGTACTGAGTTTGTTTTATAGATATCTGTGTATTGTGTTTGATGGGGAATATGTGGAGGAGGCCCTAACTATAAATTGCTAAATGAAAGCAGAAGAAAAAGAAATACTGGGATGGAGACAGAAAGGGAGAGAGAGAGACAGACAGAGAAAGGGAGACAGAGACAGAAAGAATAGGGGCACTCTATTCAGCATTTGAGACATTATACTTCATATTTCACTATTCAAGAACAGTAAATTTGTTCAGCACCCCAAATGTACAAAAACTATCAATGTGACCACAGAAATGCAAAATACTAGAAACAAATAGGCCCGAATTCACAAAGGAGGTTTGTCGACCAACCTAGGTTTTTCCGTGCGTCATATGAAGAGTTTCCACGTGTTTTTACAAACCAGGTTTGTAAAAAAGGTTTGTAAAAAAAATGTGTAAAAACGGTTTGTCCTCCTTTGTGAATTCGGGCCACTTTGTTCAAATGAAGAAAAATGAATTGAGTGCATCATCTTCACGGTTCGAGTCCCCACAAGGGACGGATCGTTACACCCTTTTTCATCAGATTTCTCTTCTACAATATGACTGAAAATTTGAGAAGTAAATAAAAATGGTTATAAAACCTTTGTGCCAAGCATGAGAGTATACTGTGATGTTACTTAATGTATAAATTTATCATGAATTTATCATACATGTTATATCACAGGCACGGGTAAAATGTGCAAATGTGGGAAGGGACGAGTATCCTGAAATTTCACAAATCCTGAAACTAAAACTGATATACAATTATTTCTTCTTTGGTTTAAATAACGGTATTTCCTTAATAAATTATATATTATTTAAACTTGACAGTAAGGGTGATACATGCTTCTGTTGCTGTATATCCAAAATACATTGATGGAAGTATTGAGAGTCTGATTTCTAGCAAATTGAATGTTATGTAAAGGAGAAAATCTGTCTTAATCAAAAGAAAAATCAATTGCATCATTTGCAAGTTACTTCCGCAAATCGTGCACAAAGAGACATTTCTCAACGAGGTATTTACGATACAAATTACTCATTGTTATTATCATTATTCCACTCAATTTAGGAAACTTAGGTCTACTTAAAAAATAATAGGACATTCCATAGTTAATATATATGAGGTGTCCAGCTATTGAAGATAAATATATGACTCAGATATAGTACAAATGTGACAGACAATGTTGAAAATATCTGAGATGAAACATGTGGAGATCAATCTTTGACTGATTTATGATACATGTACATGTCTATGTGTGACTATTTACCAAACATTCATTTTCACAAATTCAAAAAACAAAATAACTTTCTGTTCTATTTACAGTGTGATGGCTAAATGAATTTATATGGTTTTAAAAAATACAACAGAATATTTAAGCCACAATCGGCCATAATTGCACATAAGTAGCAGGTTTCTGCATAAAATCAAGCTTGTAAATGCATCACTAAGAGCAATTCTCCTCATCGTCACAAAGACATTAAATTGTATAGTGATAAGAGCCCTTTGGCTCACAGTAGACAAAATGCAGGAATAAAAACACAAGTGCATTCAAACTAAAAATCATCTTTCAAACCACATCACTATCAAATTGTGCATCGCTGCAACAACAAAGTTGATCATGCAGCTTATTAAAAGATTGCGATACCTAAAGATTGCTAACTACTGAAAGATAAAAGCATTAAGACACAAAGTTATTCGTACAAGCAATAAATGTGATGTAGAATAAGAACTGTAAGCACACAATGACCAAGAAATATAATTAAATATCTATCTCAGCAATTCTATCACTAATGACACTTCTAAGTACAGTGATAGGTGCACACATTTTAATGTTCTTATTTCATTTTTTTATTCTTATTTTCTTTGTTATTTTCCAGTCAAATGTCATATTACTCTATGATGGGAATGACCTCTCTCTAAGAGGAGTTAAAAGAAATATACTATTTCTTTTTGCAAAAACCCCAAAAGGCAATGCACTAGTGCCTTTAGGTACCGTAAGGCATAAATCCTCAGTTATAAAGTTCATTTGAGAAAAATACCGCACATGAACAATTATCATGAAAACTAACAGGACCTTTCATTATCAAACAATAATTACCTACTGCATATATTCATTAAAGCTTAGCTATTTTTTATGCAACATGTAGAAAATTAATGTACAATTTGAGTAAATGCAATACCTGTATCTTAGTTCTTCACTTTGTAAATAATGTATACAAAAAGGTACATGAACTTGTACTGATATGAGGGGAAAAACAAAAAGTTCTTTGGCATCAAGAAATCTGTAATCTCTATATAAAATCATCTCACTGTAAGTTTGCAAGTCAAACAGCACTATAAACTCAATCTCAAAAAGATCTACAACTAATTATGAGTCTTTAAGAATGCAATCCTATATAAAATAAAAACCTTATGATTTGTCGAAGGCAGATAGCTACATGTAGCAGAACTACCAAATATTTTTGCAGCAACTAGTAATGAAGTGCTAATATTTCAAAGATAGAATTTCTCAGCCTTCTCAAAATCTTAAATTTTAGATAAAAATATCCATGCAGAGAAGAAAGCCTATACAGAGAATGTATATCAGACAGATGAAACTACAAAAAGAAAACTAAAGAACGACAAATTTTCAGACACATTTTAGTAGATACCTTAATTTTTATCTCAAGACCAACTACCTAAAACTAGTAAGAAAACTAGATGGAACTTCGACTGCGCGCAGTCAAAAATGATGCCTCCGTCATAGAGCAATTTTACAAACCAAAACAGAAGAAATTTTTCAAATTCAAGTTCAATTGTAATCCATTAACAGGTTCTCAGAATATCATGATTACAAGCAATTTCTCATATACATATATGACCCTTTGATCTTTGACCACATGACTCTAAAATCTACTCAGTTCATTGGCTCTGCAAGATGTCCTGAGTTGAATAGTAATCCATCTGTCAGTTCTAATGAGAATTCGTTCACAAGCTATTTTTGCATACATAATGAGCCCATGACCTTTGACCTTTGACCTCATGACCCAAGAATCTACTCAGTTCATTGGCTCTGCAAGATACATACATGATCTAAGTTTGGCAGGAATCCATCAATCTGTTCCAATGATAATGTGATCAAAAGCTATTTTTGCATACATAATGAGCCGCATGACCTTTGGCCTTGACCTCATGACTCCAAAATCTAATCAATTTATCGGCTCTGCAAGTAACATACATGACCACAGTTTGGCAGGAATCCATCAATCAGTTCTTCAGATAACGCGATCACGAGCTGTTTTTGCATACATAATGAGCCCTGTGACCTTTGACCTTTGACCTCGTGACCCCAAAATCTAATCAGTTCATCAACTCTGCAAGATACATACATGACCAAAGTTTGGAAGGAATCCATCAATAGGTTCCTCAGATAACGCGATCACAAGAAGGGGACGTACGGACGTACGGACGGACGGACAAAAAACATAATGCCTCCGGATACTTTGTAACGGAGGCATAAAAATAATACTTAGCAATTCCTTATTAAAAGCTTGCCCTTGCATATTGACATACATACGATATATGACGATGCAAACAGAAGCTTAAAATTGCAATGGCCATACATATTTTGGAGCCTACAAAGCAAGCACCAAATCGAATAATAAGATCAGCAAAAGTAAGTGAAAAGGTTTTTTTGGTTGAAGGGGGAAGATGTATGAAGGCTACAGATATCCAAGGAATCAGTGATGGGCTACGTATCATAGTCCTATCCCTTAATTCATAACTAAGTAGACTTGAATACCCTCAATTAATTATCTGGCCTTCTAATAATTGCATATGTAAACTCTGAGTATCATAATATATACATGTGCAAATCTATTCCTTGATACTGCTAAAAGTTAATACAAACTCATTAACTTTTCCATAATACAATAATTGCCTTTGCATATTGTGATGTAAAAGCCCTTTCAGCAATTCAAAATCTTTGCAGACGTATCTATTGATACATGACATCCAAGTGAGATAAATTTCAGATAAATATATCTACCATAAACACAATGAACATGGCTACATATAATGCCACCCGTATATATATAGTTTTGCACCAAATCTTTGGATTCAATATCGCAAAAATGTCATAAACATCATTACTCTTTTTGAATATATTAACCTGGAATGGAAAAAAAAGATTGCTATTTGCAAATAAGCATTTCGTGTGAAATCGTTCATGTCGATTCAAACCTGAAATAAAACTCAATTCATCGTTGTTTTAAATTGTGCATGCCTTTCAGTAAATCAGCTGAAAATCTGTAATCGGGACAATACGAACCAACATTGGTTTATCGGATTGTCTGTTAAGGCCAGAAGGACATTAACTCTGTGTATAAATGATATGAGTCAATATCGCTCTGGCACAACATTCTAAATTATTCATAAGTTTTACCTGCAAACTGACTTCATTCGTTTTGTTCGTTTAACATATATTGGAATGAAAAAAAGAAATTACAATGATTCGGTGAAAGTAAAAGCGATTGCACAAACTGTGGGTATATAAACACCTTTGTGCCAAGCATAACACAATTACACAATGTGCATCAAACATGACTGCAAAGTTTGGCACAAGTAACATGACAAATATATCTCTTGTTGCTTCTACTTAATTAAACAAAATTAAAAATACTATAAAAGTTATTGACACTGGCAACCACAAGTATCTTTTGGTGGGGTGAAACACATACTGCACTTTGAATACTGATAATGCAGAATTAACAATTATGTATTGACATCTCTAACTTTTACGTTTACGGAGCACAAAACTACATTGCCAAATGTGTGTGTCTAGTTTTTCAATACCAGTGACAGCTCGATTACTATCTATTGTTTTGTTTACTGCCTTTCTTTAAAGGTAGTCAAAACAACGTAGGTCTACTGTAATATAAAAATGAACAACACTACTTGGCAAGACATTAATCTACATTTGCCACACTTGACCCAGGTGAGGTAAATGGGTACCGGGTAGGGTTATTCCTTGAAATGCACTGTGCGCTGATAACGGCTGCCAGAGCTAAATCTAGGGTAATAATTTCCAAAGCTCTTTGGAAGCGCATAGGGACGTCATGTATTGTGACATGCGCTATACAAGAATTGAATATTATTATTATTACACAAGATACATGCATATTTAACGCACAAGCATTACCAGCCAAACAACTGCAGGTAGATTTGCAAAACTGAACTTGCATGGGACACTGCCCCCCCCCCTCCCCCCAAAAGGGTCCTACATGGAATTAATCATCATTTACTGGCATCATACCAAAATTATAATAATTTTTATCTTTTATTTCAACACCTATGACATATTCTGTTGAAAAAGAAAATTAAAAATCAAATGCACTTCAAAGGTTTTTACTCAACCATCCTACACACTATTACATTAACTTAGCTGCATGTACTTGTATACCATACATCCTGAAAAACAGAACACTTACTAGGACCTTGGTACAGTCTGGATAAATCAATACAGTTCATTTCAACATGAACGATACGACAAATGAAACCATTTCAGCCTTCCGAACAGAAAAAGCCACCAACTCGGCCAATTTACTGCAATCGTACTCCGCAGTAATCATTAAAACTAAAGGAAGCTTGTCTGTTTCCTATAATCTATTTTACTTGGAATGGTCGTACAATATGAAACGTGAGACCTGCTCACTAACATCAACTTACGCACTGCTCTGTACTCTCGTGACTTCTAAGGTACACGTGTATGTGACCATATAACCATACACAATGCAATCACCATGACACTTCAGACTTCACATCAATCATGGAATCAGGAAAGCTGCTTTTAAATAGACAAAAATAGGGGATATGCAACAAGCATTGTGCAAAAGGGGTTCATAATATTTCAGTTGGGAGGGGAACAAGAGGGATGCCCCCTCCCCCAAGTTACTTAAGGAACAGTAATGTATATATACACAAGGCTATTCAGGTGACAATTTGGTGGCTGACATGCATCAAAGCCTGTCCCTCGAATAACCTTCAGCTTTCCATACCCGCTGGTGAGTTTAAACAGCTGAATGGACTCTTCCACTTGTTCCCTGTGTGCACCCGTAGACTCAACCATTCCTTTCGATGGGGGATGTTGTAGGTCTCGTCGTCGATGCCGTCCACGGAGTCGGTGACGTAGCCCCGGTCCGAGCCCGCCATGGCGTCGCTGCTGTCCCCACCCAGGGGAAGGGTGTTGGGGTGGGGAGGGGGTACCAGGTTCTGTACGGTGAGGGGGGAGTCGGACATGCTGCCAAAGCTACCCCGCCGGGATCCCGTGCTCTGAGCTGTGCTGGTGCTGTACTCCGAGTCTGTATTGATGAGAAGATTGAGGTGGGGTGGATGTTAAGAAAATCAAGTTCTACCTTCCTTGTGAATCATAATAATATTGGGCTCTCATATATCACTCATGTTTACCAAGCAAGCTCAGCCTTGTCTGCGGTATCAACTAAACCTTGTTCAGATATAAAGCGATTAACCAAGCCGCTTTTTTTTTATGACGACGAATGTTTCATAAACTTCACATATCTGTATCTGACAATAAAGAACTCATTAATACAAATACGTGTAGGACCTTTGTTGCTCACAGATGCCATTCATTTCCATGTATAACAAAATGCTACGGTTGACCTCTTTAAATCTGAAAGAGCCTTTAGTTGTATGAGACATGCTCTGGTGAGAATTATTTGGTGGTCAATGTCCAGCACTAACTGAATTCCCAACCCTGGATCAAATACTATACCTAAACCTGAGAACTGCTTTAACAATGATAAAAACATGAGTTTAGTCAATATAAATGTGTAACAACCCATGCTCTCTAACGACATAAGTGGGTCTTCAAAAGTTTCTAGAACTTGTCCAAAATTGATGGATACTCCAGGACCTAGTTCAGAATCTGGCCTATTTAATTTTTATCTCCACCACACCAAAGCTGCCTCCCCCTATTACTTGCTACCAGCCGATGATGGCGTGATCATTAAATTAGGACGCACGGCTGGGCTGGTGAGCAGAATTATGAGTTCGTTGATAACGCCATCTTCGGCGGCTTGAACCAAGTGTGTAGGGAATATAAAAACCGGCCAGATTCTGGACTATCCAGGACCTTGTACACTTACTGATTTCTTCTTTCGATGAAGCACTGGCCATCGCTGTGCGTCTAAGAGGCTGCTGCTTTAGAAGGAGTATGGCGCCCTCAAAGTTACGTATCGCATCGAGAGACAGGACGCTCTGTTTGCTCTCTGGATCTAGCTTACTGGCCTCTGAAGACAACCACTGACGGACGTAGCTGAAGTCTTGTTCTAGCTGATGAGCCCCATGCACACTGTCGAGTAATAAATTGATGGAAAAATTTATTGCATGGAATTGACCATTTCAAAAAGATTTCTTAACATTTATAATACTATGATTCTACACACGAACATTGATCTCTTATTTGCTCCTATTCCGGAATTCAAACTTATTTATGGCTTTATACAACGGTTCATTTATAGATGCTGCCTACGTCATTGATTAGAGAGACCATAAATTCATACAACCAAGCTCAATGCAGTTGTGCTATTATACATAGTTAGCCAAGGACTAGCTCAGCAAGATTTTGGTACCATATGATATAGCCTTTGCCCTACATTGTAAATTTCACATTCTTTCTTTTTTTAGAAAGTTAACCCATGTAACCTACATTCACATTTCCTGACTTGTATATTTTGGTCTTGCTATTTCCGGACTTGTGTTTGTTTCGATCTTGGTATTTCCTGTGTGTAATCTACAATGTGCCAATCACAGGAAATGGTAGTCACGACCCCTGTGAACTCTTCTTTGAACAGCATATAAGTTTGTAAAACAGCTACAGGGGCACCTAATCTGTCCAGTTGCATGATTCTAAAATTTCAGTTTGGACATCATGTGCTGAGAGTCAGATCAAAGTACAAAGAGAAAACATCCTTTTTGCAGATGATACACTTCTTGCCCCATTTCAGAACCTTCTACATGTATGTATTTCTCAATAGGCTATTCAGTAGCAGAGGATAGATATCACAGTGATCTATTGCCCCCTTCCATCCAATTTCCCCCTCACCCTCGCCCTCTTTCTCGCAGTACTGCTACTTCCTATACCTGAACTTTGTTTTTTCTTTCAAGATGAATGTCACCCAGCTCCCTAGCATTGCCTGAACAGCGATGAACATCACAGTGATCTAATGCCCCCTCCATCCAATCTCCCTCCTTCTCCCCCATCTTGACCAACCCCCCCCCCCCCCCCCCCCCCCTCCCCTCTCCCCTTCACCCTCGACCTCTTTCTCTCAGACTTGCTCATTCATCTATACCTGAACTTTGGTTTCTCTTTCAAGATGAATGTCATCCAGCTCTCCAGCATGGTCTGAACAGCGATGGACATGATGGTGATCTGAGCTGTCGTCTTTAGCTTGGTCACACCCTCAGCGATCGGCACTAGGAGATTGTCTACGATGCTGGCAGCGTAGGTATTATGGATGCTCGGTAATTCTATTATGGGATGTAAAAGAGTAATGTCAGTCAAACCTGGCAATAGCGAACGCCCAAGGGAAACACAGAAAGTGGTCTTTGTAGACAGGTGGTCTTTGTAGACAGGTTCCTTAAGTGCTTGTTTCAATGAGAAACCATTTTCAAGGGAAACAAGAAATGTGGTCTTTGCAGGTTTGACTGTATCAGTGACGGATACAAATTCAAAGAAACGGATATCTTTTGGATATGATACTATCATCAATTGAATCTAATGCTGTGGCCGCTTAGTTTGCCGGTACAAACCCCTTTCATTCACTGTGCGTCATAGTGTCTGCATTGTATGCCATGCCAATTCTATAGATTTTTTTTTATAGAATTCTATAGAAGTATTTTTGTAAAGAATTCTATAGATTTTTTAAATAGAATTCTATAGAAGTATTTTTTTAAAGAATTCTATAGACCATTTTTCACCAGTTGAAAACCAGTTCATTATTCAGTAGCGACCAGCAATCAATTGATAATTAATCAATATTGCATGGCATACATATAATGTCTCATTTTCTCACCACCTTCTTATCCAAAAGTGTTTCTATCTCTACAATATTCTTACCATCGGTAGTCTTCTTCCGCCAGACCTTTCCCATCGGCATAGCCTTAGGCCAAAACTCGTCACTGATCTTCAAGCAATCTCTACAGAACTGCCTGCTACAGTGACTAGACAAACCCTGCAAGGAAGAACATTGTAATCCAACTTTAATATCCAACTGAATGTTTCAGAATTTTTTGTTAAAGGTATAGACAAGTTTTCACAATGCAATTAAATGACCAGAACTGGTCTATACCTTAAAGTCTAATTTATATTCAGCATGTATTTGTATGTTGAGGTGTTGAATGAAAAACTACAGAATAAAAAATGGAGGAGGGAAAACCCCAACCATGCATTTAATGTACAGGCCTCTGAAGGTTAATCTATACAATTACATGGTTGTCTGCAGAGAGCAAGATTATTATAATGATAAGAGTTTTAAAGCGCCATTCTAAATGCTCAGACAATTTATAAAGAGATAACAGAGAATGTTTAGTGCTAGTTAAGGACAAATATTTTGAGCTTTCTCATTCATCATCTTCCCATATGTGTGAAAGAATATCATATTATTATACAGTGTTACATAAGAAGGGTTGCTCATGAAAAATGCCCTATACTTAAAACATGACAGGGCAAAATTCAAACTTTGAAGCCCAGCATTGGACACATATTCCCATTTGTGTACATCCGGTTCTGTATGCAGTTCTTTTCACTGTATGGGATTTCCAACAAGACTGACTGGCACCTTATTGTTATTAATAATATTATTATGATTTCAAAACCTCACAAAATAAAAATTAATACAAGTTACTTCCATTACAGTTGAGTTTCCTATCAACCATTCATCAAATTGATAAAATATTAATTTCAAATAGTGTTGATACCAAATGCAAAGTTATGACCTTTTATGTCATTTACAAACACATGTAAAATAAAATATTTCATAAAGTTGATAAAAGGTTGATAGGAAAATCAAATGCTGGAGAGACTGTCATATAAGTTAAAATATCATATCCTTCATTTGTATTTTCTTATTAAAATGTCTATAATTTTTTTTCTTCAAAATTTAAATTCTCTGTAAAAGTAATTCCATAACACTCGGAATCGCCCTAATACAACTTGATCTGTAAATTGATGCCTTACTTGCAGTCTGCTAAGTTCAGTATTGAGTCTATGATGCAGAGACTCCATGTGTGAGTTGAAGTTAGCGACCGCAATCTGAGGTTGCTGACGCCGGGGGCTTACAGGCCCCTGTGTTGTGGAGAGCACAGAACGTAACGCTGGAAGGAGTTTCAGCGTGGCCATGGCATGGTCGTTCACGACCTGAGAGGAAAAAATATCATGACAGTCGTCATTTTAGCTGCTCGAAACCAGGTCCAAGCTGAATATACCAGTTGGATGTCAGATGCTCCTGTGACAATTGCTTTATGTCTATTTTCAATACTAACTAAATTCTCCATTCCAAACCTAGATGCTTCACCCTAATCCTGACCTAAAAACTGATTGCAACCCTAACCCAAACCTTGACAAAAAAATAAAGACTGAAGAAAATGTAGCTAAAGCAAATATCTGGTACCAAATTGATGCCCACTTCTTTAACATTATATAACAAATATTCCATAGTGTAGCATGCAATAGCAACAGATCATGAATACAAGGCAAATTATGCCGATAAATACACTGCTATCCTTTAAATTGTATCCCTAAAATAATAGATAAAATAAATATATAAAAATAACAATAATAATAATAATTATAATAATAAAATAATAATAACAAGTGGAAAAAGGAAACCCCCTACATGACAGTACATTTAAAACTCACCCTTAGATCCCCATATGATATGAGCAAGAATGGGCCCACCGTCCAGTTAGCAAGGAAGTCCTGGCTCTTGAACTGGCACCACTGGGCAGCGGTTCCTAGACTGACCGCTAGTCTGGTCAGAGCCTGGACCACCCCAGCCTGGCAGTAGGAGACCTGGGCTTGCGCTCCATGGATCAGGAAGTTCAGACCATTCTTGCCTGGAAAGATGAAGATTGCAAAGAGAAAAGACAAAGGAGAATTAGTATTTCACACATCCAAAAGGAATGCATAGTTCTGTGTTTTTATATTTGTTAATGAGAAAATTCTTCAAAGCAGAAAATGTACATGGTACATACAACATGTATATCCCCCAAAAAGCTCACAGCTAAATTGTGTTGAGATATTTTGGTCAAACAATTCTATTTCCATTTTTGTTGGTGAGTTCACATGAAAAAACGATGCACACATCCAAAGAAAACATTATTTGCACTTTGTTGGAAATTTCACCCCAAATTCAACAAACTGGAAAACATGCTCACATCCAAAAAGAACATAATTGCCACTTTGCTGGAAATTTCACATAAAATTCAACAAACTGAAAAAGATGTTCACATCCAAAGAGAACATTATTTCCACTTTGTTGGACAAAATTCAACAAACTGGCAAACATGCTCACATCCAAAAAGAACGCAATGTCGTATTCATGAAATTCAACACAGTGGAAAATGTGCATATCTAAAAATAACACGAGCTTGTGTTGTGGAATTTTATACAGAATTCTGCAAAGTGAAAGACGTAAAAACCAACATGTCCAAAAAGAAAAATGTATGCACATATACATGAAAAAGAACATCATTTCATTTTGTTGTTGTTGTATGTCCTAAAATATCACAGTTGTACATTCATGTAAAATCAACATGTGGAAAACCTGCAGAAATACAAACTGAACACAGACTTGTCTTTATGCACTTTAATTCAAAATTCAACAAAGTAGAAAACAAACATTCATCCACCGATAATGCACATTTATCTCATGGAACTTTCATATGAAACTCAACAAAGCAGAAAAGAGGCATTCATCCACAGATAAGGCATATTTGTCTTTAGTACTTTCATCTAAAATTCTAACCAGCGAGAGATATGCATCAGCTGAGAAAGCAAATCATCTGCGCACATCCAGAAGGGCTTCAACTCTAGATGGGAAATGATATATGACTTAAAGCCCCTCTGACTATTAAGATATGAAATATCTCTGCATAATTCATCTTTTCTGTAGTTTAATGCATTCCCCCTTCATATTGAGCCCAGACTAGACTTTCCACAAAATTCATTTTTAGATTTAAAACATGTATCCTATTGACAACATGCAGGCATCCTTGTACACACATACTATTCAGCTATTCACACCCATGTCAAGAGTTTCTATCTAAATGCATTAACATCGTTCATATTACAAGCAACCTTTAACTAAAGCGTCTCCTTTAACGATCTGACATTCAAGAGAGATTCTCTCGGGTTACGATGACAACCGAGAATTACATTATTAAGAACTGTGCCGTCCTCATTGTTGAGCCACGACGATCGGTGGAGCAGCAGCATTCCAGCAAAATTTGCATGGATGCGGAAAAGCCGGATCAAAGAAAATATTTGATATAGCGGAGAAAATGTAACTTTAATCTAAATCAACAGCATCTATAATATGATAATAATGAAAATTAGAAAGAGGTGCAGGCATCTCTAGCTACCCCTAGAGATCGTGGTGTAGGCCCTGGGAACCAGTGATGGAAGAAAGGGGCGATGCTACTGATCTCCACGGATAAAAGAACCCCGGGAATACGAAGATGACGTGGGAAAGTGGAAAGGGAATCCAATCAGAAATATGCATCAAGGGATAAATCATATGAATAATCATAATCAAGATTCATTATAGGTGTGCTGTATATATACTTGCCTAAGGAACTCATCTTCTTCCTCCTTAGTACTCTCTTTTGCCCTTCCTCTATTTATGTATATCTCTCTCGATCTCTCTCCCTGATTTTGTATACACCATGCATGTTGCATGCATGTTGCCATGTTGTTAGCTGCTTTCTCACAATTGTGTATGTCTCTTTTTTATCTTTATCTATCTTTCTCACTGTATCTCTCTTTCTCTTTCTCTGTCTTATCCACCCCTCCCCCCCCCCCCTCTCTCTCTCTCTCTCTTTCTCTGTCTCTCTCTCACTGATTTTGTACATATATACATAATGCACATTGCTTGATGCTTTCCTGTGATTGTGTATTTCATTGCCTCTTTCTCTATATCTCTCTGTATCTCATTCTCCCTGTATACCCCCCCCCCCCTTTCTCTCTATCTCTTCCCCCCCCCCCTCTCCTCTCTCTCTCTCTCTCTCTCTCTTACAGTGCCTTGAAAGTGAAAAACATTTCCCTTGCCTCAAATTCAATTCCTTGCTTCACACTCAAATGTACACTACCTAGTAAAATCTCTCCTTTTTCGTTCACTGCACGTACCGGTACAAAAGATTGCAGAGTACAAAATACAGGGTTGGCATATTCAGCTCACAACTCATACAAATGGATAAACTTCAGTCAAAATTGCAGTGTTTTACCGTATTCATATCACCTGAGACATTTCATGCAGTATAGCAGAACAAATTACATTCCTCATGTCATTCATCAAAATGATACAATAAATGTAAAAAAATTGATGATTGATTGAATAGGTAGGGCTGTAAGTGAACCATGATTAAATTATTTACAATTTTCACAATTATTTGAGTCTTAAAGTGATTGCTTCTTTCGATGCAAGACTGAAATGACTATATCTCACAGTATACTTCATTACCGTATTTGCCGGCGTAAAGGCCGCAGTATTTTTGGAAGAGAAAATATCAAAAAGTCGGGGTGCGGCCTATGCGACGAAAGAGTAAAAAAAAAAAATTAAAAGCCCAAGGTACATTAACATCCATCAACGTGACAGGGACACTTCTCCATTATAATTTTTCAAGAAAAACATTAAGAGACTGAGTTCTGGTAAAGATGAAAATATAAATTTGTGCGCTGTCTCATACTTGTTAAGTCATTTTGGAAGAACATCCTGGTTGAAATGTCATTTGAATTCCTCATATTGCTCATATGAGACATAGCTGTAAAGTTAGCAGTTGACATCTCCTGCCCCAAAATCAAATTTTCAGTTTCTGAATATTTTAAGTTGGCAAAGCAAATGATCAAACTTGATAACTGACTATAATGAAATATAACCAGAACAGATATATATAATCATCAAATAGAGGTGGCCTTTGCCAGGGGAGGGGATTATCACCTTGGGTTTGAACCCAGAATCTCACGCCTACAAGACCAGACCCCTCCTCTACCACTGAGCCATCAAGCTTCCTTCAGACTTTAGGCTCATCCATTTCAATTTTGTTTAACGACTTGAATTGATCTGAGGACAATGTTGATGCTTCAAGCCAAGTAATAACATACACTTTCATTAGTAGATGAGTGTAATGGTAGTTGCACACCATTCTCCCTCGGCCTTTTGCCTTTCTTTCTTTTCCAGGTCATTGTCTCATCTTCCTTGAGAAATATGATTGTTATTGAAACTTTTCCCATAAAGACGGGATTCATTTAACAAAGAGCAAATGTCAAAATGCTCAAAATACAAAAGGACTGGTGCAAATTAAATGCCCCAAAGCCACTTATCAACAGCTACTTCCTGTAGCACTTCAGGTAGGAATTCTATTATTCCTCTTTGAGGCATGTATTTTCCTCATTACAATCTTTTATTAAAAATTTCAAGAGCCCCTACAGGTTACAAAAGGAAACATTTTGAGGGTGGCTTGCAGAAATTGTCATAGCAACGAGATACCTTTGTTAAATTGGGTTGAAAACCTATGACAAGAATTCTTTTTTCTCCCTACACATCATTGCAGACTGCCGATGGATTGGGTACTTTTCATTTGAATTACCTGGAAGAAATCCTTGCATTTACAATTAAAAAAGAAAATATACAGGAGTAAAAAATACAGGAGGAAAAAATACAGGAGTAATCATTGCTTTGGGACCTATTTGATGTGCCTTACATGTCTCTTGTAAAGGTTGGGAGGAGGGGAAAGGAGAGAGGGAAAGGAGAGAGGGAAAGAGGAGGGGGAAAGAGGAGGGGGAAGGATAGGGAAGGAAGAGAGAGGTTTAGAAGCTCTATTTTGGATCTTTTAACATACAAAATAGGAGACATCATTGCTTTGAGACATGTTTGAAGTGCCTTACGGGTCTCTTGTACAGGTTGGGAAGGGAAATTGGGGATGGGGAAGGAGGAAAGGGTAAGGAGGGGTTGGGAATGGGAAAGGGGTCGATAAGTAGGTGGGGAGGGGGAAAGGAATTGGGAAGGGGAAATGAGTGAGGAAAGGCGAGGAAGGGAGTAAGAAGCACCATCTTAAGTATCCAATTACCAAAACAGGAGAATTCACTGCTTCGGGATCCGTTCAGTATTTCTCAAGGATTTCCTATCAGGGTTGGGTTGGGTTGGGTCACTGGGGGTGAGTGAGGTGGGGTAAGAGGGGAAGAGAGGGCAGGGAGGGAAGAGAGCATGTGGAGGAGACAGAGGGTGATCGAGGAAAGAGTTCTAGTCTGGATCTGACTCTTGATGCTGGTGTTGAGCAAGACAGGAGCGTTGATTTGATAGCATGCAAGCTGAAAGGTTAGGCTGCCATATCTGATAACCGTGCATCGCTATCTGATTACTTTGTACAATGCTCATTCTTTGAAAATCAGATGCATTTTATAAATTTTATACGTTAAGAGGAGGATATAAATAGGGCATTTATGAATTTTTCACTGACTGATAATAATTGTACAAATGAGTTTGCCTGTAAATATTAAAACTCAAATCAGAAGGCATACCGGTAAGCAGTTATCATCTAACTTTTTCATACCCTTCCCAATTTTTTAATAATTCGTTTAAGTACATGCAAATATTTGATTTGACCCTATTTTTATGTTTTCTTGAAAATGTGACATATTAAAACATCCATCTATTAAGTATTCAACGAAGACCCTTACTCAACCAGTCCACCTTTCATTCTGGAGTTAAAACAAAAATTATACAAAATCATCAAATTTACAAGGGGTATGAAAACTGTAGTTGTTAACTGTAGTTGTTAAAGATAAAGTTGAGTTCAGGAGGGTGTTTCACAAAGATCCTAAGTCGAACTTATCTCTA